TTTAGTTGTAAAAAAATATTTTCTCTCAGGAGAAAGATTATTTATTTTTTAAAAAAGCTGTATCTCATCTCCTACGCATACGAAATTGCTGAAATTTTCCCTAGAACTTCTTTTTAGGGTGAAGAAATAGTGGATGTAATGTCAGCCAAGATACTCTAATAGTTTAGTTGAAAAAAAAAAAATTTGTTGTCTCAAGAGAATGTCGGCTGCTAGTTCAGTTTCAACAATTTATTAAAATTATATTTTTAGGATAGGAGATAAAGGTACCTAAACTTGTCACGTTAATTTTTAATATTATTTGTAATTTCGCAACGAAAAATTCTAATTTTTAAAAAATATAGGGCCCGGACCCTATCTTCTATGTTTCGTCCATGTCGGCTGCTAGCTGGTGGCTGCTAGTTTCAGTTTGATATGAAATTTCTGGGACAGCTTATATGTCCATATTCTGAGTTTGATTCACTATAATAGTAGGGGAGCCCAAGCGGGGATTTTTGGATTTACTCGAGCGCGGCAGAATAACATATGGGGAGCAACCTTGCACGTAGTATACCTGAGCCATCTATGTAGTGCCAAACGTATAGGGCAGCAAAAACAAAATTTCAACAAACGGCCATGACTTTTGGTCGGGTCCAAATCGTCAGTCTTTTGAATAGGAGCTACTGGAGGGTTCACGTAACATCCCTTCTCAATGTCTGAAGCGCTCGGTTATTTTTTCCTATATTCTACCCCTTCGTACGGCCACCCCCATATCATGCAAACTGCGGCAGATCAATATTTTTTCCGTTCTTAGAAACGTTATAAGAACCCTCTAGTAGCTTATATTCAAAAGACTGACGATTTGGGCGCGATCAAAAGTCATGACCGTCCGATGTAATTTTGTTTTTGCTGCCCTAGACGTTCGGCCCTACACAGAGGGCTTAGGTATGTTGGGAGTACTTAACTAGAGCAAGGTTGCTCCCCATATGTTATTCTGCCGCACTCGAGTAAATCCAAAAATCCCCGCTTGGGCTCCCCTACTATTATAACCATTTCCCTCAAATTAACGCGGGTGAAACAGTAGGGGACCTCAAGTCTATTATATTAATGTTTCTCTGGAGTAAATAAAGTCCCTATTTCCCTATGGATTTCTTTCACTATTCTAAACTACGACAGCGAATGTGAAGCGCACCTAGCGACATCTATTGTAAAAAAATGCAATTTCTTCGCAATAAAGCTGCCATGTGGACGTCCTAGATAAAGACTTATTATTATAATACGATAAAATGAAACATTACTATGTTTCGTCCAATATATTGAAAGTCAACAACCTTTCCAATTTTATTGTGTGTCATGCGATCAGCCCACGTGTTTATCCTGACCCGAGTTTCACATCTCTTACCCATACAAAAAAAGTGTACAACGCCGCTAAAGAAGTTTTCTCTTCAAAAATCAGCTTTGCTGTATTTTACGTAACCGATAAGCACTTTTCCTAAAGACGGTCAATAAGTCGGTGAACGAAAATCAATTCATTTCACTTTGTATTGCCGTTTGTTCTGTATAAGAAAAGCCTGTGGCTATAATTAGGAACTAAATAGTGGTGTCGATTCTGGCACGATTCTCTAAATCTAAACTTAAATTTGACAATAGTGTATCCTTGTCATTCTCTATATAGAATGAAAAGGAGAGAATGATGTTAAATTTAGTTTTCAGTTTAGAGAATCATGCCAGAATCGACACCAGTATATCACTATAATTGGCATGTCGACTTTTATACGGTACTTCTCAGTACAAAGTCTCCTGTCGTAGATTTACAAACCGATGGCAAAGTCTTCACGCATACAAGAGCTAGGCTGTTACCTAGACTGAATAAATAATTTTGAATAGCTTATCAACTCTTAACATATATAAAAATAAACATCACAGAAAATACATTTCTACGTAAAGTTATGTAAAAACATTCTAGTGACAATAATGAATAGTAATGTCAATGTTTAAAAGGCAATTAATGAACTATGATTCAATAGCTATAGCTACCTACATAATCTGTTGGTCACGCGAATCGGCGCCGGCGCATCGCATAACATCACGCCAGTGAATTGATAATTACGAAATACTGTTGCTTCAGTAAAAGTAGTGCATTATGTTTGCATTTGCTAAAGATTATCATTTAATCCAGAATACAGAGGTACAGTTAAGAAATAACAGGTTGACGCAGCATTTTGTAATTCAGACAGAATGCCATATAAGTATTTTCATGGTTTAATTTAATTGAATCGTCGTCGTAACGAGGAGCTCGATGGCGCGGGTGGTTACTGCGTTCAGCTGCGATCGTTGGATTGGATGGGTGACCAAAAATATTCTACCTCGAGTTCTTCCGTGCTTGCGGCGTGGGAAGGCACGTTAAGCCGTTGGTCCCGGCTACATCTGCAGTCGTTAGCACCCGCCAATCCGCACCGGGCCCGCGTGGTGGATCATGGCCCAATTTCCCTACTCCATTCATAGGAAAGGCCTGTGCCCCAGCAGTGGGGACATTAATAGGCTGATGATGAAGATGACGTCGTAACCTTATCGGTATACGCGCTCTTCTAATTTGTCTTGCTGTTATCCTATTTGCACCTATTGGATACAGGTCAATATACCATTTTGCCCATTTTTCAAAGTGAAACTTTTATCACATCGCCACAAATGTTTTCGTTCATTTTTAATTGTTATATTTTTTAAGCATGTAACCGCTAGATGTTGAAATCTAAAAAAAAAAATTACTAGATAAAATTCCACGCGGACCAGGCAGCGGCAACGAGACTCGAACCCGCATCCTTCGATACCGGGCGAATGCACTGACTATGCTACCGCGGCCCTAATGGCCGTGTTGAATTCTTTCTAGTCTTTCTTAAGCTGCAAGGCAGCTCCATCTCTTCGCATTGTAGGATACCCACAATCTTTAATTGTTATTAATAAATTTAGACCTTATCAACAAGCACCCGTGGCTCAGTGGTAGATAGTACGCCGGCTACGCGGGGGGCCAATTTCGATTTCTAGCCGAAGAACGACTTTTCTTATTTATGATATTAAAAGCTTCACTTGCAATATGGTTTCATTTTTTGATTTAAAATGCTGTGTATAGAGCTATCGGGATCCGAGAGTTCAGGCCCAATCACTTCATGTTATAAACAAAGTTCCCGGCTGAATCTGTCCGCCTCAATCCAATATATACATCTACCACCTTATTAATAAACAAGGAATAAGCTTAGACTAGTTACGCCATGGTTTGTTCATATCACTCAAATGCCATTTGTCATTTAATGAACAGAGACAAAACATTGAATTACTAATCAGAGCTTATTCTTTGTTTCATTTCAAGGGGGATAATGTTTGCGGTAATCTCAAAAACTACTCAAGGGATTTTCATACAGTTTTTGCCATCCAAGGATGAACTTTAACAGTTCTGGGATTGTATTCATCGTTAAAAGTTTCTATAAAATCTGAACAGTGCCGATCTTTGACCAACAATATGATTACAAAGTTCGTGCTTTAGGTTTTATTTTACTGAAGCTAAAGAAAGAGCAGAAACTATAGTAAAGGTATACACTACAGCGAAGCGAAGTGACATTACTCACTAGTATAAAATTAATAAGAGATGAATAAGGTTATAACATCATTGAATGTGCACCCTACATTATTGGCACACAACAAAGCTTTTACAACTGCTCCCAGCTATAATAATTTCAATTGTATTTCTACTAATTTAAAATAAAATTCAGTATGAAACCAAATAAAATTCAACACTAGGCTACAGTATCTAAGGCATATTATAATTATGGCATTTATTCAAATCCTTTAGGCATAGGTAACCACTTTTATGGAAATGAGTCAGTGATAAGTTATCTCTGCTACTAGAGGAGTCAATGATACATTACCACTTATTGCTGCAAGTTATTTCCTCCTACTGACCTCTATTTAAAGTTAATATTATGTTTACATCTCAGTTTAAATAAACAAGACAATATGAGTCTTCCTTGTATCATAAATTTGTTGTTGCACATGACTTTGTCTGGAACAATTTGTCTCCCATACATTTTTGAGCCCTAGCCCCTTAGTTAATAATTTTTGCGTCATATAGTTTTAAACTTTAAACCAAAATATTGTCTAAGCCATTTAGTTATGAACGAGTAATGGACTGTAAGTCGTTAGAAATAAAATTGAATGTTCTTCAGGGCCTATAATCAGAAGGTCGTGCGGACAATGACATCTGAAGCTAGTATCGGTTTAATATAACTGCAGTACTTACACACACTTCTATACTATACCTTATTTATTTATGTTTAAGTGTAAATTTAGATTCTAGTGTGATATATAATTTACAGGGCTGTAATGACTTTGGACTTTTTGATCATTGTGATAAAATGATAATTTTATCACTGACTTACTTTAATGTAATATACGTCTTAGTAACAGCATTATCTGACCTTTCAACGTCACAATCAACATCCTTATTTGTTTACTGAGCAGATAAGTTCTAAGTAGCTTATTGAGAATTTAACTAATAATGCTAAAAAGCCTTTTATTTTACACAGATCTATACAAGTTGCAAATATCAACTAGTTAAATGTGTATAATTATATTAATTCAACACTGTATGTAGATGATCACCTCTATGCAATAGCAACACAGAGTTTGTGTGGCTATTTATTGGAAGATTATAGTATAATGATGATAATTATCCAAGAAAATAATCAACAAACGAAATATAAATGAACTAACATAAATATTAAATAACAAACTAAGTAAGGTGTATATATTATGGACATATTTACAATGGAACAAGTAGTTTGTTATGGAAATTAGAAAATATTTAAAAACACCTTAAATATATTCACTGTGTTTTACAATGAAGTTAGAAATTAAGTGTAGGATAAGTTCATGCTCATCTTGTGTTAAGAGGTATCTAAAAAAATATATACATTAGAAAAAGTTTCAGAAACTACTAAAAATACTAAATTGTTTGTTTCTTAAACACTTACTTGGATTAATAAGATTGGCGCTCTTGTACTCAACGCGGGGGTCTTCAAAAACTTTCGTGTGTGCCGGATTCAAGAAGGCTAGCTGCGGCGGTGTTTTATCCACTACGCGTACATTGCACACCAGGTCATTAGAGACGAGGTAATCGACCAGGTTTCGCCCTATGAAACCGCACCCTGAAATAAATACGGTAACATTAAATAAAATTTCGAGAAACACAACACGCGCACCTGATGACTAAGACTGCAATAGTTCACAAAGACCGTTACGAAAAACGAGCAAAAAACGTGAGACCGCTATCTACAAAGTTCTACAACTTTTAGCTTATATTCGTTTAGGTTTCAACGTGGGAATAAAATTGATCTAGCAATGTATTTACCTCCAAGAACAACCACTCGTGGTTTTGAATTATCACCGGCAGAATCGGACATTTCTCCAGCCGTTCCCAGAAAAACATGCACTAAACTGAATGACAGTCTTTTGACTAGTGTTGAGTAGGACTTACAAGAGGCGGTACATTTGTCCCGGACATGACATCAAAATGTAAGAGCGGCTCAAAATTTTAAAATGTACTACTTCACATTAAATGTCGCGATAGTCGCGTCTCGTTACTCACTCACTCTTCGTAAGTCTGAGAGAGAGAGCGAGACATAACATTTTATTTAAGTCCTCTACGCACTATCCATCTGTATCTCTATCTCTTTTACGTGTACAGCGCTGTCCTGCATGCTGGATCCATCAAGATTGATAGTGCGTAGAGGAGGTGCTAATCGTGCACACAAACGTAATGTCGAGCTTCTGTACGCCTCAATGTCATATTTGTACTCGTCACTTCAAATGTATTGCCGAGCTTCAGTACGCCTCGCCTCATTTGAAGTGGGACATTGTACTGGCTCAGTACAAAAAAGAGGCTACTCTTACAAACTCTTTTTCAAGTAGTGTCCTACCCAACACTACTTTTGACAGTTCTTGAATGACAGTTCTCTGAACTGTGCTGCCAGCAGTAAAAATATTTTACTTTCGTTTTTTTTTCATTATTACATTTTTCCTTACGGAAGGCAAAGGTTACCGTTAGAACAAATAACTTTGTAGGATGTATGCTCACAAAATTATTATCTCGAGCTCCTCTGTGCTTAGGAAACTGATCTGATTGATGCGGTATTGACCGGCTGAATCTGCAGTCACTGCAGTAGTACCGACCACTCTGTAAGTGTTTCGCACAGGGTCCGCATGATGGGTGGACCCAGGAGGCTTGCATCACAGCAAGGGAACGTATCTCATAATTATCTCATCTTCCTCCTCGCATTAAACCTGCTTTCTTTCAATAATTGTCTTTTAACCTTGTATCCTCTTACACTTCCTTCCTTTCTTTGATGCTCCATTCTTTCCCCTGGCAGTATCCTCAGCAGCCTTGCGCTGAGTGTGGTGGTTTGTCTGACTAACTCTGGTTACCATTGCCGAAATACACATAGCAACCAAATTGAAAAACAGAATAAAAAATATTGCTGTGGTTTTGTGAAACCTTGATGCATGTAAAACTTTTTTACAAGTTTTTTTACATCGCCTCAAATGTTTTGGGGTCGTAGACATTTAAAAATTGTCCACAATACACTTGATGGTACCGAAATTGTTAGGTACTAAACAGAAAAAAAAGTGCTCGGACCACATATCTGTAGTGTAACTTCTTTTCTTAAATTACCTAAGTAACATTAGGCGGTGCGTAAGGCATAGGGGAATGGCGCAGCGCACGTATCACTCCGACACGGAGGGAAAGTAAATTGAATATTGAAGATAGGATATTTTTCTGGAAGAAGACACCATTTTATTTTTAACTAGCGGTTGTCTGCGACTTCATACGCGTGGAGTTAGTTAGAAATAAAGGTTCACTGCTCGTTCCCCGTAGGTGATAGCGTGGTAATATGTAGCCTATATGTTGACCCGACTTCTTAATAATATTCGTGCCAAAATCAAAGTAAATCCATGCAGAACTTTTTGAGTTTATCCCGGACATACATACAGACAAACGGACAAAAATACTAAAAACTATATTTTTGGCTTCGGTATCGATTGTAGATCACACCCCAATTATTCTTGTACAGTTTTGACTTTCCTACCATTTATTATATGCAGGTATAGTAATAACTAGAATTGTATTCACAGATTTTTCTTAAATCGTCTGCTACAACTGGGAAATAAAATCGTGAAATTTGAAAATAAAACATATGACGTATTTTATTCTAATCATCTAAGGGGTTAATTATATGGATTATTTTTTCCTAAATAACATAGCATTTTAAATGAAAGGAAGATCATGAAATTTCATTTTTGAAGTGAAACTTCTTAAGCACGCTTGACTTGGGGGGTAAACTGTCGAATGTGTTACGATTTCGCGTTACGATTAGTGTCATCGGTGACTCTTCGGTAAACAATGAACAATACCCGTCACAAAAAACATGTATCTAGTGCTTCGTGGGTGATAACGGACCCAGTGCAGATTAGTGGGTGATAACGGACCCAGCGCGGATTGGTGGTTTTTTTTTTCTATCAACAAATCTTCAGCTTAAGTTTATGATTTTCAGATCATTGGAGCTAAAGAAGTTTCACTTCAGTAGTGTGGTCATAAGCACAGTCGTTGTTTTTTTTAAGAAATTTTCTTCTTACTTTTCCGTGCTTCCAACAGCTAATGAAAGGAAGATCATAAAATAAAATTTTGTTTACGAAAATTTTACTCTTACTTTTATTTATTTATTTTTATTTAATCTTTAATGCCTTAACATTGCATATGGCATACTTAATGCCAGCATGGCATTCTCTACCAGTCAACCGGAAAGAACGTGCAGAGTCAATAAAACGTGTAAACTTTTCCGTGCTTCGAACGGCTTATATTATCATTTCAAAGTATTAACTATCTCGTACCTGCTCACTTAATAATAGAGGATTTTGCTTACTATAAGTACGTGAAAAAATAAATAAAGCGATACTTATACAAACCTAGCACCGTTTCGTTTTTATTGTAGTTTGTGTACAATTCGTAAAAAAAAAAACAATTTTCGTGTATTTTCTCTCATTTAAAATGCTATGTTAGTTAGGAAAAAATAAGGTTATCATAAAATACATGTGTTTTTTTTGTTTCACATTTTACGAGTTTGATTCCCGGTTTTGGCAGGCGATTTTTTTAAAACTGTAAACGCATTTCTACTTATTATTAAAAATAAACTGATGTTTTCGTTTTGTAATTTATATGGTATCTTCAATATTTAATATACTTTACCTCCGAGTGACAAACCCGTGGGACGCCCTGTATATATAGACGCGTGTGACGCTCGTGACGCTCGCAGCGTTTCAGCCTTCGCCGAGTTACCATCCAACTTTCATGCTTGTCGGGAAGAGCTGCGCACGTATCCCACAAACCGATTTATCCGTTTCATTTTTCCATTGGATGTTTCCATTTACACCCCGGCCGAAAAGAAGTTTTACTTCAAAAAGTCCTTTCTCGACTGGGAATGGAACCCGGGTCGCCTAAGTGGCAGGCGACCTTTCTACCACTGAACTATCGTAGCTTGCCATCGAGAAGTGTATTTAAGATAGGTAGACACAATATATGGTCACGACTATAGAATAGATACAAGGTCTGTTTTAATACTACCAGGGGGCCTAACGGGATCGCTTTGGAAAACGCTATCGCTTACGTTTTCATTTTGTTATTTCTGACCGCCGAAGGTTTTCAAATACCTCACGCTCATTTTTTAATATTGTTATTAACAATGCAAAAGAAAAAAAAGAGCGCGAGGCAGTTGAAAACCTCAGTTGGCTAGAAATAGCAAAATGAAATCGTAAGCGATAGCGTTTTCCAAAGCAATCCGGTTAGGCGATTTGCCCCTGCTCCCTGGGCGAGGTTTTTTGACATTTCATTTTTATTGACAAAGTTGCCAAGTTTATCAATCTAGATTTAGATATGTCGTTCGCAGATAGGTTTTTATCAGCTTTAGCTTACGCCCCAAATATATAAACAAACAAAAAATTTACATCTTTAATAAGTATACATAGTTAAAATAAATTTGTACTTACCTAAGTAAACGGAATAAGAAAACCCTCAAATAAGAAGTATTAGCTATTTTTGACCTTTGAAATTTCAACCTTTTGATAAAATTAATGTTTATAATTTAAATTTTAAAGCATGTAACTGCTTGATGTTTAAATCTAAAGAAAATGTAACTAGAAAAAAATCCACGCGGACCAGGCAGCAGACGGGACTCGAACCCGCACCCTTCACAATCCGGGCGAATGCACTGACCAATTATGCTACCGCGGCCCTCACGGACCGAGTCGAAATTCCTTTAGCCATTCTTAAGCTGCAAGGCAGCGTCATCTTTTCGCATTATAGGTAACCCACAATGTCAAAAGAATACTTTAAAAATTAAAATTAATGTTTTCTGGTTTTCTCCACTAAACTGACGTAGACTGTGTGCGTCCATCAACTACATATAAGTTACCACAATAAATTAAAATGCGCCGTAGATTACAAAAACGTAGATCACCATACAAGTGCATTGATTTTCGTGCGTAAATGGAGAAAATATATAGAAAGTTGGTTGACCCATGTCCGAGTTAGGTACCTTGAAATAGCTTCATGTTTCTGTCAAGAACCGAACCAAGGGCTTGGAAAGTTTGCTGTCGTTGTACCAATCATTTTTAAATGAGCAATGAATTACTTGTTGCTTTTCGAGGGATGGGGTAGTACAAGGGGATGAGATAAGACCGCCCCTCGGTACTCTCCGACTCGCTCGCACAACCCTGAAGAAAACGAGCGAGAACGCCAGCTCCTAATATAATATGCACTCCTAGTACTTCTTTCTAAAATGGCGGATCCGTCAACCATTTGATGGTAACGAAATGGACATCATGGTAACGAAATGGACATTAATGTGGGATTTCCTAAGCAAAGTAGCATAATGAGTATCTTTTTCCGTGTTTGTTCAGAATCAATGGCAAATGCACTCGACTGTCCTTCTTCTAATGAAGGTCTGGCAGTGTGGAGTTTTCTTGTTCGATAACTTTGTCCCCTTCACTGGCTTTGCTTTAACTTCTCTACGATTTTCCACTCGAGCAAACGTTTGAGGTCTTTGCAGACAAGTTTTCCCGACATCTGAGTTACCAGGCCAACATGAAACTTAAGATGATAAAATATGTAAAGAATTCGACATGGAACTCGTAAAATATGAGCAAATGGATGTGCACATTTTTCATATTCTTCTCCCGATTCTTTTGATACCAATAACAGCTATTAAAATAATCGTAATTAATTATTACATTAGAATAATAGTTTATCATTATTAATCATTTATTTATTAAATTATAATCTAACGGGGCTAACCTACCTATAACAACACTAGATATTTTTATAAAACTGCAACAAGATCTATAGGCAGGTAATAGTTTTAATCTATAATATCAATAATAATGAAAATTTTATTGAACCTGTGTTTTTGACCAACTTTTGCCATTATCATTTATTTTTTATTTTTTATAAATAAAACTTTTTTATCACTTTGGTTTCATATTTATGGCTGGAGAATGTGTATTATATACAACACCATGTCCAATAGTTTTCTAGCTTTGTATCAGAAGTTACGCATGGCGTGGGGTTAAGAAAATCAATATTAATAACGCATGCGCTGTATGCCCGGTAACAGGCTACTACTCAGAACTCCTGGTAGCCTGGTACTGCCGCCCACAAAACTGAAAATTTCCTGCCCTCCTCCAGGTTTTCCGTAAGTAGGAAACCTTCGATTTCCGGTCTCTAGGGCGGCAGGAAGTCAGTTCCGTTTCAGGCCAGGCATAACTTGCTTTGTCACGGATCAGCCTGTAAGTCCTGTAAGGTTTGTAGGCTATTAGTAGGTGGGTATTTATAAATTTTAACGCGCATCTTTTCTGCGCAGTGCAACAAGTGCATTTGAATTTGAATGAAATGTGTATTTATAGAACGGCGAGCTACCACATCACATTAGCCTACTTAGCGCAGAAATTATGTTCATTTCTTTATGTAAAGTACGACTAAAAATGAAAATAAGTTTGGTCTAAGTGCTAATTCTGTACTAAGTAAATTGCGTATAATGTAATTTAACTACGCACATAATAGAAAATTGACTGTTAGGTAAGTAGTATGATTTCCACTAGATGGAGCTACTATGGAAACACATTCGAATGAATTATCGGCCAGTTTCAATAATCAAATTATAGGAATAGATAGGCTTTTTTTTTGTTTTTGATGAATAGATAGGCTATTGCTAGCTTTGTTGCCTAGATGTTATTTTTTTATTTTTAGATTATAATAAAGAAACGGGATACAGGCGCCAAAGCAACAAGGGCGCCGGACAAACAGAAATTATTGTTGTAAATCAACCTACTCCGTTATTATATTTATTATAAGAAAGTTTTATATCCATAGCAGTATTATTTTCCATTGACTTGATTTTATTTTAAAGCTTGAAGAAAACTGCTTCTATTCAACTATGCAATGGAGGCAATTTTATTTTATCAAGATTCTTTTCAACACATGAAAGCTTAATTTAAAATTTAAACTTATTTTTATAGTTTTTTTGGAACTTATATTTTTTTTTTGGATTTTTAGTATTTACTTACGCAAAGTTGTGTTTTCTTTGTTATATTTAAAACACGGTTTGTGTTTGTACAAATTTATTTTTAACGTTTTTGTATTTCATATTACTAAGTAAATTGTCTTAAATCTACATAACATTTTAAAAACATAACGGTAAATATTAGTCCTATCTAAGAGACGGAATGCAAATGTGTATAGATTCAAAACCATGCTCATCACGACGACTTAATAAGACTCCTACCTATTAGAGCGGCCATAGACGAACTGCGCGAGCAGTAAGCCAGGGATGAACATACAGGGACTTCTTACGCAGTGAGTGTCAACTTGTAGCTGCCATTTCATCGAAATGTCAACACCCCGAACTGGAGGCCTACTCTAATTCACACTTTTCTTACTATGTTTATGGTTCATTTTTAATTAATAAATATTCGTCGTCGGAACATAGATTGAGGTGTACATTTTCTAAGCCTACTCAAAGTAAAGCTTCAATTTGATAGTTTATCTTTCAAATTTATAACCTTGAATTGACGAAAAGAAATTACGTTTGAACTTCGCTATCAAAGAGAATAAGAAGAGTGTAGACCCCCAGTTGTTTCAACTGCTTTAAGTTGCCCGTGTATGGCGACTCTTACACATTAAGTATGTATGGCGTATACACTGCACTGATTTGGATATAATTATTATCGATTTAATTTTTATCTCTGTTTTAATTCTCTCTCTTTCTTCTTCTGGGTGATATTGCGGCGTCATCGGTGGTGCTTCGTGTGCCTTTCATACAGGCTCGTGTGTTTCGTTTTGCGCTGGCTCCACTGGTACGTCGTTGGTTGGCTTGTTCGACTTCTTGCCGGGCAGGCTCAGACAGAACAGGGAGTTCACTGAAAAAAAACCATTATCAGATTTATGGTGTGTAACCATCCGGGTGGAGTGTGGTTTAGTGCAACGGTAATACGCGTTTATATGATTATACTTTATTTCAAACTTAACGGTAGCACACGAGCGCGGGAGAATCAAGGCACCGCGCGTGGCTTTATAATGCGATTCAACTAAGAATAGGACCGACTGGACGCCATATTTTGACGTCATAGCTGTCAATTCAAACCAAATAGGTGGAGTGAGCAAAAAAATTTTGCTATTTAATAAAACTTATTTACTAAGATTGAGTGAGACAAAACATCAGATTTTTTAATAAAATTAATTTAATAAGGTTGAGAAAGATCACAACCGATTTTAATAGTATCCCTTTATTAAGACTGTGTAAAAAAAACATTAATCAGAATCTAGCTCTTCGATTTCGCTCATCTCTGCATTACCGCCGGAGATGTTATGAATATTCATGCAGCAGGTCACATACGAACATGCATCCTATATGTAAACGAAAGTTTTAAATCGAGTTTCTGAACGCAACATAAAGTGACATTTGGTTGACGATTTAGGTTATCAACCATTCATAGCCATTACTCAATAAGTGAAAAAAAACAAATAATATTAATTATCAACATTTGTGTTTGTTTGTTTAAAAATGTTTGGTTTTTATTCTAGAATTAGTGGAGTGCTAAAAAAGTGTTTCGAGTTTTTTTTTGCAAACCGTACTTTTCAAGCGTCATTTGACAGATGGAGGTCATTGGCTTTCCTATTCTTATTTGAATCGCATTATACGTTAATAACGAGTCCCGGCCAATGACTGACTCGCATCGCGCCTGCGTTGGCGCATGTGGCGTTACCCGAAATGTCCCCCCGCGCGTCCCTTCAACTGTCAATACCTTTCCTTTGGGCCGGAGGGAGGCACATACACGCCACAGGTGTTCATTTCATCATACTTATGAGGTTTTCACAAGACAGCAGTTTGGTTTTGTGTGCAGAATGCCATGTCTACACTATCTATGGCCTGTAACCTCAGATCAAATACAAAATGATAACTCGTGTTGATAACAAACTCAAAAGTTGTGGCGCTCATCGGTGATCTATTTCAAAATATTCTAACTTCTAGTATCTTATAGTTAGTATATTGAGTCTCACATGAACCTAATAATTTTCTGGCACAGAAATCACCTCAATCCAAGTGACAAACTATGAGTTTGCCAAACTGAATGAGTAACAAACATACAATACAAACTTTAACATTTATTTCTAATTAACTGTGCCCCCAGGTGTTACCCGTGGTTTATTTGGGATATTTTCCCGAAGTAAAACGTAGCCTATGTGTTAATCCAGGGTGTCGGCTAACTCCATACCAAATTTTATTAAAATCGCTCCTGCAGTTTAGACGTGAAGAAATAACAAACATACACACTAAAAAACTTTCGCCTTTATAATATTAGTGTGATATTAAGTAGGTTTACATAGACAGGACAGGGCCGTAGCCAGAGTAGCATTTAAAATAGAGCAGCGGTAATTAGAGGTAGTAAAGCCATAACTACAGCTTGTGAGCGATTTTTTAGATAAGACGCCGTCCACCGTAACAAGTCGCCATGTATGGCAAGCTTTTCCAATTTGTTGAGAAGAATGGCATGATCAACGCGATCAAATTTTTTTTTCAAAGTCTGTGTATACTATGTCTAATTGCCCACCTCCTTCCACGTTGTTCAAAATATATTCAGTAAAACTTGCTAGATTAGAATCAGTTGAACGACCCTGCAGAAAACCATGCTGTGCTGTCGTGATTCCATTTGTAATAATGGGATAAGTATGCATTAGAACAATCTTCTCAAAAAGCTTACACTTACACTAAGATAGGCTGTTGATGATGATGATGATGATGAATGGTATTTTAAGGTAGGATTTTGCCCCAAAATGCTCCCCCTAGCTACGGCCCTGAAATGTGATAGTTCTCTCACCGATAATGATTCCTCCGAACAGATAGAAACTGAGGCCGCAGTTTGTCTGCAGGAACACGCCGATGAGGTTGGAGCCCGCCATCGAACCGACGCGACCCATCATCATGGACAGACATATTGCCATGGCTCTGTCGAAAAACGGACGGAATAATTAAACCTCTCCGATAAAAGGGTTTTTTCATTTGAGGAGCTGGCGAACAAAATGTTATAATTATTTATTTGATTTTATTCTCAGCGCCATATAAGTCTACAATTACAAGCAATCACACTAAAGTACTTTAATGATGTAGTGCCCGGGGCGCGGCGCCCGCCATCTCGTTACGAGGCATAGCATTGCAGCTGCATGGACACACACACACATGCATACACTCACACACATCATAAGGTTATCACGTTACAAAAAAAAAGAAAAACAATCACTGACTGATGACACCGATGACACTGATCAGTGTCTGATTTTTTTCCTTTTTTTTGTCCTTTTGTTATGTTTTGTTCTGTCCAATCTTAATTTCATTATTTATGTTAGTAAATTATATGATTTATATACAATTTTTAATGTAATAAAATGTAATAAATACTGATATATAGTAACGCCGTTAGTATCTAATGTGTTCATAATGAGCTTCTGTAATTGGCCTTAAGATTGTTTTTATATTTTATTGTATTAAATCCACAAAGAAAAACGATGTAGAAACTTTGTTAAAGAAAAATAAATAAATAAATTACGCATCTGGTCAAACTACTTTTATTTTAAGTCCGGAGGTTTTGGGCTCGATGAATTTGAATCTCAAATAATCTTCAATCAAAACCGTCTAAAACAGTTTAAAAATTACTAAATTTATCAATTAAAAACCATGCCAAAAGCTCACTGGAGGTATGTCATTCAGTTTTGTACAGCTCCTGTAAAATTTAATTTTATGTGATTATATCGTTTTGTTCGCCAGCTCCTCATTTATTACCTGAGAAACAAATCAAAAGCAACATGGCAAATATTAAACTAAAACTACACTAAAACTAGAAAAAAAATAAAAATATTAAAAAAATAGCTGCCCTAAGTCTTCCCCGTCGGCAAAGGTTCCCAGGACGCTGGCGGCATTTACCCGCTGAATGGCGAGGCTTATACGCTGGGCGAAATAGCCGCCAGCTCTGCGGTCTCCAGAGGTCTCCACCAATCTTTTGGCGATTTCTTTGAAAAGATGGTGGGCACCGGAGCCCCAGAGTCCCTGAGTCTCGACTCCAAACGCCGCAAATGTGAGGTCTCCACAAAATAACAACCTAATATAATAATAATAACCTAATATATAATTTATCTGAGAAATATTTATAACATATTTCCTTAGCTATAGTCTTCTCTCATACTTCTTAAGTCGAATGCTCTATTTATATATCACTAGCTGTGCCCCGCGGTGTTACCCACGGTTTATAAGGAATAATTTCCCACAGTAAAACGTAGCCGTAGTGTTAATCTAGGGTGTCAGCTAACTCCATCACAAATTTTATTAAAATCGCTCTAGATGTTTAAACGTGAAGAAGTGACAAACATACACGCTCACAAACTTTCGCCTTTATAATATTAGTGTGATTATCACATAAGAATAGGGCAATGTCGCTTAAAATGGCCGTTATTTTTTGGATTAGACTGGAATAGACCCATGGAAGCCTTAACAATAACTTTGAAGTTTTTATTCTATCTAATATTCTTTTTTAAACATTATTATATTTAAATATTTTATTATATATATTTTTATCATTTTGAGCATCCAACTGTAAGATTAATAAATCTAAAGAGAAAATTTCACTAGAAAAGATTCCATGTGATCCAAGTAGCAGACGAGACTCGAACCCGTACCCTGCGCTACCGATCCACCGATCTCCGAGCTGGTGACGAAATTAGTTCCGATACTGCTGCAGCCTGTGGCCAGTAGCACCACCACCAGGATCGCCATCTGGCCCGTCAACATTTTTGGTCACCCGTCCGAATACCGGTAATCTGCTTAACTTTGCGATCGCAGACTAAGCTAACCACATACACCATCGAACGCCACATTGTTTTAAGTTACTGACCTGTATTTAGTAGCCATCAACAGTTTTGGTCCCCCATTCGATGACCGGCCATTGCGAAACTTCTACGATCGCAGCTCGAACTCGTTATCCACTTGCGCTATCGAAATCATCACTATCAAAAGTTACTGACCTATATTTAGTAGGGAACAGATCCACAGCCACCGAGTTCATCAGTCCTATGCAAGCACCCGCCATTTGAAAGATGGCGAACATGATGACTCCAATTTCCGAGCTGTTTACAAGATGAGCTCCGATACCACTGCAGCCGGTGGCTAACAGCACCACCACCAGGATCGCCTTCTTGCCCATCAGGTCTACTAGGAACCCCACCAGGATGTACATGGACGAGAACACAAGGCCAATGTAGATGGATCGCTCAAAGGTTTCCGTGTTTATTGTGTCGTTGCATTCGAACTGGAATAGTTTTGTCATATTAGCAAAAGTTCAATAAAATTATTCCTTCCTTAAACTCTGTTTAAGTTTTCGTGTCAAAGAGTTTTATGAATGTATATTACAGGCTACGTCGTCAGAATCAAACTTTTATTAAATAATATATACAATAAAAGTTTGATTCTGACGACGCGACGTAGCCTGTAAACGTCAATAAATAAATAAAGTTTCGTGCATTAACCCGTAAAAACAAGTATTTTTTAATGAGTGATGTGCGTGAAAACCTAAGAAACAAATAAATTCTTAGTTTTCTGGGCTTTTCCCCCATTATTTTTAATTTTTGTTATGGAAAAATCTATGGGTAGGCTTTTCTAAATAAATGTTAGGCAACTCGTGTTTTGTGATTGGATTTAAGTGTCACCGTACACGGGCCATACGCCACAGCAACAAACGCAGCCACGAGAAGCTAGAAGAGGCTACTAAAGTGGCTGAAGCGCGCGACAGCGGCCGACTAAGGTAAGGGAGAGAGGGGTAATGAATCGCGCTAGTGACGTGTGGCGGCGTTTTTTATCGGCGCATTAAGTATCCGGTATCGGCGCATTAAGTATCCGGTTTTTTATCGGCGCATTTTCTAAACATGACCTCATCTTCTTAAAATATAATTTGAAACCCCCGAAGCAGAAACCTACTGTACTCCATATGCGTAATTTCTCTAGACTTGACCTTGACAGGTTGAGGGAGGATGCTGCTCGGATCGACTTTTCCTGTGTTTTGGAGTCATCGTCAGTTGATGAGAAAGTCTCTCATTTTAATAATCGTTTACTCCAACTGTACGATACTCATGCCCCAGTGAGGGCGGTAAGAGTTAAGCGACCACCTGCCCCGTGGATTAATAGAGGTGTCCGTATGGCCATGACTCGGAGAGACCGTGCGTTCCGAACCTTTAAGCGCAGCAGGTCGGAGGAGAACTGGCGTCTCTATAAATCTGCACGCAATAGATGCAATGGAATGGTAAGGGCAGCTAAGCGTCAATATTTTCATAATAACATTTCTAATTGCTCTTCAGCCAATATCTGGAAGTTTTTGCGTTCACTTGGGTTGGGTAAAAACTCTTCTCCATCTCAGTCCCTCCCTTTCTCTCTTGATGAGTTCAACAAACACTTCTCTGGTATTTCTTCCTTGGAACCAGCTATCAAAACTAAAACTATCGATCTAATAACTTCCATGGCTCAATCTCACTCTTTCATCAATCTTCACCTTTTCCTTTTCTCCAATGTCAAACGATGAAATTAAGAAAATTATTGTGTCCATAAAATCGAAAGCCGTAGGATACGATCATGTGAGCAGGGATATGGTAATAAATACCCTTGACATTATCCTCCCAATTATTGGCCATATCGTCAATTATTCCTTTCTTACTGGTTGCTATCCACTTCCCTGGCGTAAAGCCTACGTTATTCCCATCCCTAAAACTTCCACCCCTACACAATTGAAAAACTTTAGGCCGATTTCCATCCTCCCATTCCTCTCCAAAATCCTTGAAGCTGCTGCTCACTATCAAATATCATCTTTTGTACACTCTAGGCAGTTACTTACTCCCTTTCAGTCCGGCTTTCGACCTGGGCATAGTACATCGACAGCTCTACTTAAAGTAACCGAGGACATCCGGCTTGGCATGGAGAACCAGTTGGTCACCATTGTTGTCCTTATTGACTTTTCCAATGCTTTCAATATGGTGGACCACGACCTTCTACTTGCGATTCTGAAAACTCTTGATTTTTCGTCTTTGACATTGGACTGGTTTTCATCTTACCTCTCTGGCCGCCAGCAGGCAGTGCGCAGGGAGGGTGAATTGTCAAGTTGGAATGACTTGACTGCTGGCGTTCCACAAGGAGGCATTCTTTCCCCTCTTCTTTTCTCTTTGTTCATTAATTTTCTTTCCTTCTCGCTCGGCTGCTTTTATCATTTCTATGCTGACGATTTGCAGATTTATGTACAGACAACTGCTGAGGAAATTTCTAATGGAATATCTCAGCTCAATAGGGAACTATGCAATGTAAGTTCTTGGTCTGCTGACTTTGGAATTGCCGTTAACCCCACCAAATGTCAAGCTATTGTAGTGGGTGGCTCCAAGCAGATCTCCAAGATCGATTTTAGTCTGCTCCCACCTGTTGTTTTTGAAGGTACTAAAATTCCATTTAGCCCAAGCGTTAAAAATCTCGGCCTTCATATTGATAATACGCTAAGTTGGACGACGCAGATTGCCGAAGTCAGCCGAATCGTGTCTTTTTCGTTGCGTACCCTTAATCGTTACAGAAATTTTCTCCCCATTAAAACAAAGATCACTCTCGTTACGTCCCTTGTTCTACCTCTCATTGATTATGCCGATGTCTGTTATCCTGATTTAAATGCAGATTTTCTCAATAAATTGGACCGCCTTATGAATAATGCTATACGTTTCATCTTTTGCCTCCGCAAATTCGACCATGTTTCTTTATATCGATCCCAACTAAAATGGCTTCCTATTCGCCAGCGTAGGCAGTTAAGATTACTCTGCACTCTTTTTTCCATTATTTCCAACCCTCATTCTCCAGAGTACTTGAAATGCAAGTTTCAGTATCTCTGTGATAGTCACGATCGTCCTCTCCGCTCTGCTGATTCATTAGCTCTCTATATTCCTCTTTCTCACTCAGGCTATATGTCCAACTCCTTTACTATTCAAGCTATACGACTGTGGAATGGCCTTCCCGACTCCATCAGAAGATCTCCTAGTAAACGTATATTTAAGAGGAATGTTCACGCTCATCTGTTGCAAAACTTAATATGAAGTGTCATTTTAGTAATCATCATCTTGTGTATATATGTGTATACTGTATATATTTAAATATTAGTGTGTTTTGTTTGTATGTATTATATTATTTTTATAGTATGTATTTATATATGTATCTATGTTAATTTGTATATGCATTCGTATTTAGCTTTATACCGCCGTTCGTGTTTTTCATTTTTCCCAAAGGTTGACTGGGAGAGAATGCTTTTAGCATTAAGTGCGCCTTTTGAACCAATGTTATATATTTATATTTTGGTCAATAAAGTTTAAAAATAAATAAAATAAAATATATTTTTTATCGTTACTGGTTAAGAGACGTACCATAGTGGCATTTTCACGTACTCTGGTAGCGTCAAGGATATCGCAGATACTCGATTCGCCCCCATTGTGGTTAGCCAGCGAGTTCAGGACAGTAGGAAACCACACGTAAAAGCCATTCGTTCTAAAAAGCAATTACAATGAATTGAAATACAAAGTAAAATTTCTATAAGATTATTATATTGGCAGATTAGAAGACGCCCCTGGCTTAATAAAATGACAATTTGCATATTTTGATGGGTAGAGTTCTATAACTAGATAAAGAACTCCTTACGTGGCAAATATCCCGAACTGCACAAAACACGTGAGGCAAGTCCAGGGCAGTAGGGGCTTCTTGAAAAGCGGAACCGTCTGATCGCAAATGGACTTCAGCAGTGTTCGCAAGCCTTGTTGTTTTTCAGTCTTACTGTTAATGTTGTCTCCTATCAAGGATTTTACCTGAAATTATTAAATGTCTGTCATTGGAGCTGGTCTAACTCTTTAGGATATCAAAAGGACATGATGAATTCTTAAACACGAGTGGCGATTGCTAGATCAAGGCCTGGGGGCCATTCGCCTAACGGGATTGCTATGGAAAACGCTATCGCTTACGATTTCATATTGTTATTTCTAACCACCTGAGGTTTTCAAATGCCTCGCGCTCTTTTTTTTGCATTTGCATTGGTAATAACAATATTAAAGAAAATGAGCGTAAGGTACTTGAAAACTTTCGGCGGTCAGAAATAACAAAATGAAATCGTAAACGATAGCGTTTTCCAAAGCAATCCCGTTAGGCGAATGACCTCCTGATCACTCCATCACAGGCATTAGTATACAATCAGATATCTTCGTCGAAGAATTGCCGTCTCTAATTTTGTGTGGAAATAGTCACCTAAATTGACTTATTTTTATTTGACTTCGGTGACACCTTGTATATCAACTCGGAATCTGTACCTAGATTTAACTTTAAGGCTTACCTCAAAGCTATCTTTTGGCATCCTTTGGTTGATAGAATATATCTTTTTGACGACCTCTAAGCATTCGTCGAGCTTGCCAGCTGCGTTGAGGAACTTAGGGCTCTCTGGGGAGAACAGAAGGAGCACAGCACCGAGGACATACGGAAGTGCACAAGCCACCACCATCAGCCGCCATGGACGGTACGCGATGCCCAGTATAGGTATGGGATAGAAGAATTCCATGGGCAGGATTAACCAGCTGACAGCTGCAAATGAATTTTAGATTTTAAAAAAAGTTTAACATAGAACCTACACCTTACAGACGGTCATCATCAGCCTATTAATGTCCCCACTGCTGGGGCACGGGCCTTCCCTATTAATTTAATAGGGAGATTGGGCTATGACCCACCACGCGGGCCCAGTGCGGATTGGTGGGTGAAGGTCACAGTAAAAGAACACTACCTTTTGGTGGTGTTGTGTTTCTGTCGGTGAGTTAAGGTTCCAGGGCTCCACGGGATATGGGATTGGGTCAGGGTAGTCAACGGTGCGAGTGTTATTTTTGGTATCGCAAGCGTTATAGGCTATGGTTGCCGCTTACTATCAAGCAGGCTATAAGATTGTTTGCCACCCCTTTGACAAAAAAAAAACTAACTAACCATCTATCTAAACTAATACAATATTTATAATTTTTATTATTTTAAAGCATGTTACTGCTTGATGGTTAAATCTAAAGAAAATATAACTAGAAAAAATTTCACGCGGACCAGGCAGCAGACGGGACCCGAACCCGCACCCTTCGCAATCCGGGCGAATGCACTGACCAATTATGCTACCGCAGCCCTCACAGACCGCGTTGAAATTCTTCTAGCCATTCTTAAGCTGCAAGGCAGCGCCATCTCTTCGCATTATAGGTAACCCACAATGTTAGTCAGTGCATTCGCCCGGATTGCGAAGGTGCGGGTTCGAGTCCCGTCTGCTGCCTGGTCCGCGTGGAATTTTTTCTAGTTATATTTTCTTTAGATTTAATACAATATTCCTTCATTGTGGTGTTGCAAGTGTCTATGGGCGGCAGTGACTATTTGCCATCTGGTGGACTGCCAGCTCGTTTGCTTGCATAAACATAAAAAACTACCTTTTGGTAGTGTGGGGTTTCTGTCAGTTATTAAAGTTCCAAGGCTCCACGGGATACAGATAGGATCAGTGGCCCAAGCACAAACTTTGACAGATCCGTAATCGTTTTGTAATCGTCAAAATTTGTATGAAAGGATACTTTCATAGTTTGTTCTTACGTCCAGTATGTGTTGTTTTCATAGGAACTTTGACGACGCGATATGCGATAGCTGTCAAAGTTCATGCTTAGGCATCAGGTACGCAATATGCAGGTGTGAACTCTGGTATAACAAACCTTTCCAAGGTGGGTGGACCATATGCATATTTGCTACCCGTTTTAGATATTTAAACAATGATTGCACCATTTTTTCTATATAACTATGGAAACCGTCACCCATCCTTGTTTTAACACTTTTCTTCATAAACGAAAATGGGATGCAACAATTTATTAAACAGATCAGCAACAGTACGCACAGTACTCTTAGTATACATTAAATTAATGTGTACTAACAGTATTAAGACTGACAACATACCTGGTAAAACCACAGTTCCGATTCCTACGAAAGACGACCCGAAAGCCACCATCTTATCTCGGTGGCGGAGGTTGTTGAATTCCCCCAGATATGTGTACGCGACCGCCGATGGTCCAGAAACGCTGGAAGTCAGGATATGTGCTTTTAAATAAAAAAAATATGTGTGGCACTCGGGACTGCCGCGGTAAAGCTATTGCATAGCATTTTTTATCAACTTATGCAATTATAATTATTCATGTATTTTATTTATGCAGTATTTGTTTTTCTTTGATATGATTCAAGTTTTTTCTTTGATATTAATAGATGGCGAGGCAGGCTTTTTGATATTTTATTGGACAAGCATAGCAAACAACAGCATTGCCTGGCGTCAAAAACCTTCTACAAGCTCCACAGTTTACCATCTTTAGTCCAAAAATTATAATTATAAAGTCTAAATAAAATGGTGACAAATAAAAATAAGAACAGGGTGCCAATCGCCTAACGGAAATGCTTTGGGAAACGCGAACGCTTACGATTTTATATTGTTATTTATAGCTGCCTGAGGTTTTCGAATACCTCACGCTCATTTTTTTTACCAATGCAAAAGAAAAAGAAAGAGCGCGAGGCATTTGAATACCTCAGGCGGCTAAAAATAACAAAATAAAATCGTAAGCGTTAGCGCTTCATATGCACTCTTGTCAGGTTGTTTTCGTTACGGAATTTCTTGATTCGGTCGCCGCGCTCAGAGCTCGCGATAAAATCTATACAATAGCTTAAAAAGTAAGCTGTGCCATTGCTTAAAAAAAACTAGTTGGGCATCGCAAACAGCAAAAGAAATGCTAGAAAATATACGAGCCGTTCGTTTAAAGTTCCCGGAAGCATAATGCTCTGAGCAGTCGCTCGGATAGCCAAGGTCTGATTCTATTACAGAATAGTATCCAGAATGAGTAACATTAAAATCTAGAAGTTAAATGCAGTACCTAAATATAAAAAGCATTTTGAAATTCCACCAAGTGCGAAGTGCTCAGAGGAGAGGCAATGGAGCATAGCAGATTTCCTGGGGGAGTAAAGGTGGAGGCACCTTACAGAAGACTACAATAAAATAACTCTGCCTTTTGGTGGTGTTGTGTTTCTGGCAGTGAGTGAGGTCCTAGGGCTCTACGGGGTAGAGGATTGGGTCAGGGAAGGCAACGGTGCGAGTGATAATTTTGGTATTGCAAGCGTCTATAGATTATGGTGGTCGTTTACCATCAGACGGGCCATACGCTTCTTAGCCAACCTTTTAACATAAAATATAAGATACTTACAAGAAAAAATTCCCTACTCACAATATAGATGAAATAAATTGCAGCACGGCGAAGGATGTCAAGTCTGGTGCGAAGCTCGCAAAGACCGAGAAGACGGCAGAAAGCACCATGGAAACCACCATGACCTGGCGGCGGCCGCGCGTGTCCGCCAAGTAGCCCCAGAATACAGACGTCAGGATGATCGCTGTAGCATGAGATAAAAAGATGTTATATGTGTAATTGTAAACACGTTACAGAGGTAATGATCACGGAGAACAGCGTGAAAAATATAGGTATCATATTAAATACTAGCGGCACGCCCTCGCTTCGCTTCGGTGTAGAGCTGAAGTGTAGACTACAGTTTTTGTTCTCAGGCTTGTATTATACACAATGACATTCATCTATGATTCTTCTTATGCTGCATGCAAAGTCTCAGCCCGATCGGTTTAAAATTGACAAAGTTTCATAGAAAGTTTCATTCCCTATTTTATCCCCTTGGGGGTAGAATTGATCAAAATTCTTTCTTAGCGGATGCCTACGTCATAACATCTACCTGCGTGCCAAATTTCAGCTCGATCCGTCCAGTGGTTTGGGCTGTGCTTTGATAGATCAGTATGTCAGTCAGTCTTTGAGTTTTATATACATAGATTGATTGACTTGGCTAAATGACGATCTTAGAAGCTAGCATCTATTTGCGCATCTGAGCGCAAAATCTGCTAAGTTTTTTTCTTGGAACTGATACCACCCGTATCAGCTATCCACTCCCTGCCCACTTCACCCATCTGAAGGAGCTCGTAGAAATGGGCAGCGCCCCATCCAATAAAATCCAGTCAATACTCTTGCACCAGTCACGCATTCTGAGGACCCAGGAATTGAGACCGAGGCATTGGGGAATGTATACTGGTAGTGCGGATGTAGACGCGGCAACCATCTCCGACTGGCCGCGCACCTAGTGCTCACCTAAGAATGGAATCGCCGCAAGCCACCCTCGCTGCTGCAGCGTGAGCTCCAGGTCGCACTGCGCTGCCGGCATCACGTAGCCCAGTGCCAGGCTTTGCATGATCACCCCCATGAGAATCACGCCGCACATCAGCATGTGCAATATGTTGTAGGCGCCGAAGCCTAGAAAAGAGGGTAGATATTCTTTTATGGATCGGTCGATTGCTGTGTATATGGCTACATTTCAATATACATTAATTAAAAAAACGACGGGTTGCACTCCGGCAGTGCCGGCAGAAGTGAAAACTTATATATTAACGTTGTGCATTTTTGATATTTTGGTATTATACCCTAACCAGGGTATTATAATTTTGACGCGAATTGCTTTAATTATCAGTATAAAAGTACTATCATGTATGTGGTAGAGTATAATATTTATTATTGCGCTATCGTACACAAACATGACAATTTATATTACATTAAAAAAGTTTATCTTACAGAAATATCAACTTACATGAATCACGTTTAAGCGCACCTAGCGACATCTATTGTAAAAAATGCAGTTTCTTCGCAATAAAGCTGCCACGTGGACGTCCTAGATAGAGACTTATTATTATAATACGGTAAAATAAAATATTACTATGTTTCGTCCAATATATTGAAAGTCAACAACCTTTCCAATTTTATTGTGTCATGATGCGATCAGCCCACGTGTTTAACCTGACGCGAATTTAACATTTTTTACCCATACAAAAAAAAGTGTACAACGATGCTAAAGAAGTTTTCACTTCAATAATCTTTTGCCATTATTTTTATAAAACGGGTACCTGAGGGCTAATCAAACTATTCTCTTTCTATATTATATCTTCACGCCGTGTCCCGGGTGGGGTAGGCAGAGACAATAGAGTGCCATAAGACACGTATTCGTCGTCCTATCCTCTTTCTTTTCCCTTTAAAGCTAAATAAAAGTGATGTAAATATGTAATATAATCAAAAAATAATATTTTTCGCAAATATGAAGAAAAAGTCATAGAGAAAATGTATAAATCTAAGAGATAAAAGCAAAAAAAGTTACATTTTGCCTTTGGTAGGTATAGAGGTTAGCAGTTCCTAGTGTCTTGATTACGTATATTAAATTGTGTCATGTTTGCTGTTGCAATTTCTAAGACCAAATGGGTTTTCCAAAACAAGCCTCCATCAATTTATATTGTGTTTGCATTAGGCTTACTTTTATCAGAGGAAACATCTAAACAACTAGCACTGTACGGAACATGTGTTTAAAATTGATTGCAGCGTCGTATACAAATAGACATTAGATTATTATCAATGTTGATTCTATCTACATTAATATCAATTGAAGAAGTACCTAGGAATATTTGGATGTCCTGTTTTTTTATGTCTGAGAAAAGGATTTAGGCATGCCCCGCCCACTGGTTAAGACGCTAAAAGAAGCAACAAGGATATTGGATATGTACAAGTAATGTGTGAGAGAGACCGTTCATTTCGTTTAGCTAAGTCACTTGGCGAAATGTTTCGCCCTACACACTAATAACCATACTTAACAATATTTCTGCACCTGTGACCAGTAAGTGACCTTAGTACGAGTTTGAGCTCACGAAAACTATCATAGTTTTCGTAATTGTAAATTATATTTCTATGTCCGTTTGGTGAAAATGAAAACTAACCAAATATACATAAAATTTAAGAAGACGCAAATGATTTAATACTAGAATATAAACACTGTTTATTTGTAATATAAGTTATTTACGGGATTATTACCATGTACCTTGTTTTTAGCGAGTTTCCGATATTTCGGCACTGTTGCAAGCGCCATGATCACGGAGTAACTGAAGTAATTGCGGGTAGGCTGTTATTGGCAGACATATCGGTCTACCCTCCGGCGAAGTCTTTTATTGCGTTCGATACCCGTACCACTGTTCACATTCTCACTATTCACTCGAAACTGTTCTCGACACACAACACTTACAGTATCGGATCGCGACACGACACTTTTTTGATTATTTCCGGTTTTACATATACGAACCACAGGATTCCAAAACAAGGTATATGGTAACAATCCCGAACTTATATTACTATAATGTTAGTGACCATGAAAGTTTAAAACAACATACTGTTTATTCGTATTTAAACGAAAACAATAAAATCAGTACCCTCAGGAGTGCGAGCTTACAAAAACTATCATAATTTTCATAATTGTAAAACTTGTACTAAGGGTACATACAGTTCACATGTTTGAAAACTAGGTATCCTTTAAATTCCACCACCCATTACGAAGATAGCAGACGCGACGATAGTCTAATGAGAAGACAGGTAGGGCATATCGAATTTTCCGTCAAATTGGAGCGCGCCCGTCTGGGGAAGTAAGCTCCACCTTACAGAAGGCCACAACAAAAGAACGAAAGGTGAGTAGGCAATGGCTGGAGCGGCACACCTTCTGCCGCATCATCTACTCGTATCTTCGCCACTGAACTTCACTTACACTTAACATCAGGTGGGGTAGTGTGGCGGCGACATCTATATGCCCCACATATAACTAACATTGAGGAAATAAACACTCGCCTCCTCAAGAGATGGCGCTACCGGCGCTGCGTTCACAACGTAAGGAAGCCTACATCGCGCAAGTGAAATTCGGCAGCCAACAGTTCATATATACGATGCCCGACCAACATCAGCAGGGCCGCGGCCCCCGAGCTACCATCATCCAGCTCGGAGGAAGATCTTCCCCTTTGGCCTTCCTACACTTCCTACAGTAGTTTACTTATAACCACAATTCACACGTTTTCTACTAATGTTTGTTAACAACAAAAATGTTTACAGTACACTGTGTGTAATAGATATCACTCGATGATTGAAATGTTAACAAGGATTGCATACGATTAAATCTTATGACTAATAAAGGGTGCCCCGCGTGAACTTAAGCAAAAACGGCTAATGGACACGTTTAATTTATAATAGTTCTTGTTAAATAAGTAGGTCTTATGTCTGCTCTTGAGGAGCTCGAGGGCGCAAGTGGTTAGCGCGTTCAGCTGCGATCGTTGAAGTTAAGCAACTTTTGCAATGGACGGTCATTGGATGGGTGACCAAAAATTTACTATCTCGAGCTCCTCCGTGCTTCGGAAGGCACGTTAAGCCGTTGGTCCCGGCTGCATCTGCAGTCGTTACCACCCACCAATCCGCACTGGGCCCGCGTGGTGGGTCATGGCCCAGTCTCTCCCTATTCCATCCATAGGGAAGGCTTGTGCCCCAGCAGTGGGGACATTAATAGGCTGATAATGATGATGTCTGCTCCAACAGGATAATCATTCAAGAATTATTGTTGCTTAGACACATATTTTCTGCTATTATGAATAAAAATTCAAGTTAAATAACACAGTCAATTGATAGTGTTTGTGGGTCTGCCCATATGCCATGAGACTGGGGGAAATTAACGTGTCAAAATATTAGCAGCGGAGCCCAAGCGGTGATTTTGGGGTTCACTTAAGCGTGGCAAAATAACATCGGGCAACCTTGCACCTTGTCAAGTACTCCCGCCATACCTGAGCTTTTAAATGGGGTCGAGCGCGGGGTAGCAAAAAAAACCGCAATTGGTCACGACTTTAGTCACGTCCAAATCGTCAGTCTTGAATATAGGAGCTACTAGAATGTAGGTTCACGTAACCTTTCTGCGCTATCCGTACGCAGCTTTAGAGCGTGCGCACCGTTTTGCGGGGCACGGAGCAGGCGTCCGTTCGGCGTTTTTGTTTTATAGACCCGCCTCACACGGCGCGGGCAGCGGAGCCCGCTGTCTTCTGTGCTCTCGTCTGCGTTCTCTTTTAACTAGGTTGTATTATCAACAAAAAAAAAATGGGTGCGTGTACTTATGTAGGCGCGTGAGAAGTTATCCTTCTTTGGCATCGTTTAAAATTAGTTTTTAATTGCATGCAAATAATTAATTACAATAAATTAAAAAAAGTCTGGAAAAGGACACAGTCAATAAAGTTCAGTTTTAATTTGAAAAAATAAATAAATAATCAAAATATTCAATTAAAATCGCTACTGAATATAATTTATTAGAACATATGTGATTTGCACTTGTATGAAACTCAAACACGTATTCCGAATATACAAACTAGAAACATGTGGATAAATATTATAAAAATGAATACCTATAACTGTTACTTTATTACAAAAAATAAAGATGTGGTTTTTGGTTCTACTACACCAATGGTCAAGAGATGGCGCTGTAGTCTCCTGAATCGCGCTTTGGTTGAGTTGTTTCAGATTAATAAATACTTTTGATAGGCCTTCACAATGCAGTCGTTAGCACCCACAAAATAGAGATTCTATTTCTATTTTGTTGGTAGATTTTCTTAATGTGCGGTAAACACAAAAGTTGTTAATTTTTTGTGTTACAGTGATGCGCGCGCATCTTAAAATTTCACTCTCATCATTTTTTCATAACGCGCCTAAAGAAGTATAACTTCAAAAGCCATTATGGACTGTTCACCCATGCAATTGAAATTGTACTAGCGGTTGACGTGCGGTGCGAGAGACACCGGAGCCTCTCGGGGGTCCCGCGAAGGGTTGATCGTAGGGTTGCCAACCCTACTATATAATATAGTATCCTACTATATAAGGGGATCAAATACTATATTTCTATAAAAATATATAGTAGGCGAAACTAGTATATTTTTTTTAAAGCTGATTCACCAGTAATAGCTTTCTTAAAAATATAAACTGAATTATTAAGTTATAGAGCAGCAAAAATATACTCATTTCAAAAATAAAGTAAATATTTTAACCACATACTATTTTTTCCTCATTTTTATGCCTTCTACTATATTTTGAGGTAACAGCTTCGAAAATACTATATTTGATAGAAAATAGTTGGTATAATACGGAGCGGATCAACGCGACGGCCGCCCGCTCCATGCCCCGCTTAACGGTGCGCAGGCTCTTAATTCGCTTACCTTGGAGCAAGGCTAATTGCTGAGAATGTTACAAATATTTACCTATATATTTTATCTTAAGTAGGTATGAGTACCTTATTTTTGGTAACAAAGCAAATAGCTAGCATCTGTGTACGTCCGAGATAACAGTTTTGGGTCACCAGTTTGCAACGTATCATGACTAAGACTATTGCATTTCTAATTAATATTGAGGTTATCGTGTCATCATAATGTTATGATAATTTGCGAAATGACGAAATCATCTCAGACTTTTGTCTTTGTTTGACGTCTGTATACTTTCAAAATATGTAAGTGGGTGTACTGGATGGGTGCCTAGGTCTATCGAAGTAAAACATTGAAATTGAACTGGCGCAAGACAGGACTGTTTAGTGTGGACCGCCCCCAAGGTATGTTCAGCAGTGGGCGTCATACGGTACTGACATGATGTTTACATTTTTAATTTTTTATTGCAAATGCTGGAGAGAGAGCATTGATGATTCAGTGGTAGAAAGCTTGATCGGCTGCCCGGGTTCGATTCCCAACTCGAGAATTTTTCTTACTCACCTGTAAGCAACATGGCGTCGTCCAGTGTGGCTGCAGAACATTTCTCATTCCCAGTTTCTTTAACAGCGGATTTTACTGCCATTTTCTTCTTTTTTTCGTAGACCTGTAAAGTTATTTTATTACCAACGAAATATACACACATCAAAAAAGGTTAAGAAACACGCATCCTTTACTCAAACTTGCAAGTTGTATCAGTTGCTATTTTATTATAATTTTTACGAAATGTATAACTGTCGCCGCACACGGGCCACCGACCACAACCACGAAACGCCGCTACCGGCATATTTCTTGTAGTTTTCATCCATTTTATATGGACTCGCCACACACGGTACGTCGGTGGCCACCACACGCTACAAATCATCGTTGCTCGCTTCGTGTGGCCCGCACCGGCCACTTAATGCGCTGATACAAAACGCCGCCACACGTCACTCGCGCTATTCCCCACCCCTCTCTCCCTTGCCTTAGTCGGCCGCTGTCGCGCTCTTCAGCCACTTTAGTAGCCGCTTCTAGCTTCTCGTGGTGGCGTTTGTGGTTGTGGAGTGTGGCCCGTGTGCGGCGACACTTATTCAAAAATTTTATGAAGTAAAACTATATATATATAGATATATGTGTGTGTGTGTGGGATACATTTCTCAAATGGGACAAATTCCACGCGGCCCAGACAGCAGCGGTATTCTCTGTTCTCTGTTGCCTGGACCACGTGGACGGAATCTCGAATTTTTTCATGTCGCTTACTCTTTTCAAAATTAAATAACTACTTTTCTTTATTCAAATTGGATTAATAATTCAACTCTTTCAAATCGTCCATAGTTTAATCGTTGCTCGTCGTTTTGATGAGTTTCGTTTGCTTGTTGTTTTTACGCCATTACTCAAATAAGAGTGTTATTTTGGGTTATTCCTCCTCCTTATCCCATTTCCTTACTTATCCCAAACTAGTATTTCTTATTCAACCTATTACGATATATTAATATGCTTATTTTTTCAATTCAACCCAAATATTCCAGGTTTCATTTAAAACGTAGGTTGTATTAAACATAAATAAATTCAATATGCCTCAACAACTGGTTTGGCTGTTAATTAAAATCCCTACATCATACGATGTAAGAAACACAAGGGAATTGAACGTATTTTTTTACATATTGCAAATTGCAAAGAATGTTGGACAATATGGTATTTTTTGGAGTTAATCCAGTTACAAGACGAATGATGAAAAACTGACATTTACTTGTTACGTGTTTAATGAATTGGTACAGATTTTCCTTTAATTATTTTAATATTGATTCAAGATTCTGCGATAGATAAGTCAGCAAAGATCGTGACCAGATTTTTAATTTAATTTAGATAGGGCAGAGTAACAGTCGGTCAGTCACGTATATATATTATTTTTAAATGTATTTATATAGTCCGAAAGAAATAATCAAGAAGCAATCTTACAAACCACGATGCATTTATTATCGCACTAGCTGTGCCCCGCTGTGTAACCCGTGGGTATCAGGGATATTTTCCCGCAGTAAAACCTATGTGCCTATGAGTTAATCCAGGGTGTCAGCTATCACCGTACCAAATTTTATTAAAATCGCTCCAGCCGTTTAGATGTAAAGAAGTAACAAACATACACACTCAAAAACTTTCGCCTTTATAATATTAGTGTTAAGTGTGATAATATTAAGCAAGACCAAAAGATGTTTGGACATTTGACGAAGAATTTAAATGTCTTCTGTATTTATAAAATCGAAACTTGATTATATTGTGAATTTTAGTCCTGGAACTTTGCTTACTAAATAATAATAAATAAATATTTCCAACACACACACATACAAACACCAATTAGCCTAGCCCCAAAGTAAGTGCTATAAGGCTTGTGTTATTTGATACTAGGGTAACGGAGAGAGTACATTTACTGTACCTATATAAGTATATTCATTTAGAATTACATATTAAACATCCATGACTGGAGTACAAATGCACGTATTCATCACACAAACATCTGCCCCCACCGGGATTCGAACCCGGGACATCTCGAGTCGGCGACACCATGAAACCCGGCGTACAAACCACTCGGCCACGGAGGTCGGTAGCGTTGTGTTACTGTGATTTTCTGTAAGGTGTTGGTGACTTCCCTAGACAGACAGACACTCCAATATGAGCGGAAAATCCATTGAAAGGAAAAAAAAATCTTCTATCTCGAGTTCCTCCGTGTTTCGGAAGGCACGAAAAACCGTTGATTCCGGTTGCATCTGCAGTCATTAGCACCCCGGGCCCGCGCGGTGGATCATGGCCTAATCTCCCTATTCCATCCATAGGGAAGGCCTGTACCCCAGCAGTGGGGACATTTATAGGCTGATGTTAATGATGATAAAAGTTAAAGTGAAAATTAGAAATTAGCATACCTACTATTTTTCTTTTTAGCTCCAAGTTGCGAATACTTTTTTCACTGTCTTCGATTTGTTTGTACTGTACTTAACTTATATTTTTATTTAGAAATATCAAATCACTATGAAATTAACAGTAGTCAAGTACTTAGAGCTTTGAAATTCCGCTTAATTTTTATTACTACTAAAGTCGTTTGTTTGAAAGGAAAAATAAAAAAAAATATCTTATTAAGTGCTTTTTTTGTTAAAAGATCAACTACTATTTTTTTTCAAAAATGTACCTACACTTTTTTTTCATATCGATTTATCATAATGTAGGTAAATATTTTTTAAATAGATTTTTATATTTTCACTGCTTAATTCTTAAGTTCTATTTTCACTAGTGCACAGACGTTTGTGTACTGATAAGTTGAACGCACAGCAGTCAGATTATATATTATTGAAATATCCAAGATCCCTTTCTGCTATACTACAAGAGATAAGGTTCAGTTCGCTATAAGTAAATAAATTAAGCACGAACGTGTGTCCGTATGGTTGATCCATGTGTTGATTGTAATCAAATCCTGATTTGATTATACCAGCACCTTATCATAAGTAAATTAAGTTAATTAGTTAGTTATTAATTTTAAGTAACTTTAAGTAAATTATCTAAGTGTATGAATGTTTTGGTCTGTGGAAACTTAACAGGTTTATGGAAAAGTAATAAGTTTTACTTAATTGAATTGTGTAAAACTGTACGTTTCCCAAATGAAAATAAATAAATAAGGTATACACATAGATGTATTATTTAAGGGCAGGGGGTTACGTTAACTCTCCCTCAAATCATTTTTTGAAGATTTAATATATCGTATGGGATATCGTATAAGAGAGATTCTTATAAGATTTTTTAATATTTGCCTACCTCGATTTGTGAGAAGATTGTCACCCGAGCTTACCCAAGCATTTATAGCGTGCGCAGACGATGCACTTTTGCCCGTAAAAATAGATCGCTTACCAGTTACAACTTCATCTAGGAACGCCCAGGATATTTTTTTTTAATTATATTTATTCATTCTCTTAAGCAACTTTCGCAGTGGTCGGTCATTGGATGGGTGGCCAAAAACATCTATCTCGAGTTTCTCCGTGCTTCGGAAGGCACGTTAAGCCGTTGGTCCCAGCTGCATCTGCAGTCGTTAGCACCCGCCAATCCGCACTGGGCCCGCGTGGTGGGTCATGGCCCAAACTCCCTATTCCATCCATACGGAAGTCCTGTGCCCCAGCAGTGGGGACATTAATAGGCTGATGATGATGATGATGATTCTCTTATAACAGTGGTCTGATTGATGCATTATGTGGTTTCTGTCTGTTTGTTAATTTATTTGTCAGACCCAGTCCCGGGGTGACGCTATTCCATACGTCTCCGGGGGCTGGGGCTGAGGGTTGGCTGCAGCGCTGCTCCTCCCTCTTCTCCTCTTCGGGCGGCTGCTGCACATATGGATGGAGCACTGTTTCCTCAAGCCCTGGTTCTGCGAGTAACATCCTGGTGGGAGGGGGTCAGACAGGATGAGCCCACGAGGGATTAGAAGTACCACTACAGAGAGTACCCCGAATAACCGAGAGTACCCCGAATAACCGAGAGTACCCCGAATTACCGGGAGTACCCCGAATAACCGAGAGTACCCCGAATAACCGAGAACACCAAGACCTCATGTTCTGTGGAGAGATCTGACAGGACAAATAAATAAATATTTCCAACACTCACACCAATTAGCCTAGCTCCAAAGTAAGCACTATAAGGCTTGTGTTATGGGATACTAGGGTAACGGATAGAATACATACACTGGATACTTATAAGTATATTTATATAGAACTAGCTGTGCCCCGCGGTGTTACCCGCGGTTTATTAGGGATCTTTTCCCGCAGTAAAACGTAGCCTATGTGTTAATCCAGGGTGTCAGCTAACTCCATATCAAATTTTATTAAAATCGCTCCAGCCGTTTAGACGTGAAGAGGTAACAAACATACACACTCACAAACTTTCGCCTTTATAATATTAGTGTGATGATTACATATTAAACATCCATGACTGGAGTACAAATGCTCGTATTTATCACACAAACATCTGCTTCCACCGGGATTATAACACGGGACCTCTCGAGTAGGTGACATCTTGAAACCCGACGTCCAAACCACTCGGCCACGGAGGTCAACAAAAGTACGCGGGTGTCCCCCATAAACATAGACCCCACGTGACTAGGTGACTAGGACTAGGCAGAAACGCATTAACTTTATTCCGCGTTGCGCGCTCGATCTGATAAAGGGATGGACCCAGTATTCCATGCATTACGATCTTTTAGATAATCATTAACTTTATAATAGCCCTCATTCATAAGAGAATTCTTGATCTGAGATTTAAATTTGCTTAGTGGAAGCTCAATCAGGTCTTGGGGAACTTTGTTAAACAATGCAATACTACAACCCAGAAAAGAACCTCTTGAATTTTTGGAGTCTGAAACATGGAACGGCAAGCTTGTTCTTAAATCTCGTGTTAAAGTTATGGGTTTGACTTTTTTTTTGCAAATGAATCATATTTTTTTCTTACATATATTAAATTTTCATAAATGTTTTGCGACGCCTGTGTTAAAATATTAATTTCTTTAAATTTTTCTCTAAGAGATTCTCTTGCCTTTAAATTGTATATGGCGCGAACAGCTCTCTTTTGCAGTATGAAAATACTTTCCATATTAGCGGCTGAGCCCAACAACAAAAGGCCATATGACATAACACTATGTAAGTAACCAAAGTAAACTAATCTTGCCGTTTCCACATCGGTTTTTTTTTAACAGAGAAAGCTGCAGAGCTCAGTCTACTTAACAAGGCATCAATATGAGGATCCCATTGCAGACGAGAGTCTAAAGTAATACCCAGAAACTTTGTAGAATCCACTAACTCTACAGGCTGGTCAATTATTTTTATACTAGTATTAACCTGCCTCGCATTAGGTAGAATAAACTTAACGCATTTTGTTTTACTGGAGTTAAGTTTTAAATTATTTTTATTAATTAATTTCAAATAATTTAATTATTATCTTTATATATATAATTCTTCTGTGAGTGTGTATGTCACTGAACTACTCTTAAACGACTGGACCGATTTTGATGAAATTTTTTGTGTGTGTTCAAGGGGATCTGAGAATGGTTTAGATTCACAATTTTGTCTGCTGCACAACCCCTATTTTTTTAGGGCGGTACGAAGTTCGCTGGGTCAGCTAGTGTTTAAGTATATCGCAGATATGAGATAACTACCATAATTAGGCTTTCCTTTAACAGCCAAACCTGTTTACCGTTTAACTGGTGGTCTGTTTGATATTCAGCAACTGCGGTAAGAAATACAAAATATAATGTACTGAACAATTAGAGTAACCACGTTTCATTTATAAAACAAGGAAATTATGATAATGTTTTGACCTAATCAAGTAATCATCTTAATGTAAGTGAATAGGCAATAAAAATCATAGCTTATTTTCTATTTATTTAACTTAACAACCGCAACTGTATTTAAAAAAACATTAACACATCACAAGTTTACAATAATAACTTAAAAACACAGTTAAATAAATATTATCATAACAGATCAATGAGTTCCAGTCCCCGTAGCATGAGCACCACAATAGGCTAGTTGACTCATGTCGAATTGTATTAAATAAATGTTTATTTCTTAAAGTATTTGGTTTAAGGAACCTAAATATATCGATTTCACTTCATAAAAGCAGAAGATTGCTGTAGAAATTTAATTTCAAAAAAATATTTTAGTCTATACTTTGTAAACACTAAAAACGCTGTTCGCCACATCCGCCATGATTGTGACGTCTCTTCTGGTAAACAACTAAATGTCATTCATACATAACTTTAAAACTTGTATTATTAAAACTGATAATAAATGAAGAGACTTAAAATATTATTCAATGAGTACTTACAACAAAGCGATCTTCGCAAAAATAAATTTTACTATGAGTCGATAAAGTTGCAGGATCACTTTTAGCAAGTTCTAACCAGGTATGTATAGTAGGTTAATTTCTTTCGGCACTTTAATCCACAACTTTCCTGGAGTCTTCAAGGATGTTTTTACATTTCGTACAATACAATAATGATAATTACTATATTTTTCGTTGTATCTATTAGAAATCATGTTTTTTTTTATTATTATAAACTCAGATAGGTTATTTTCTACGTGCTTACAAGTTTTTGTTTACTACCGTCGACGTCTTAGCTTAGATAATCTATAGACTAAAATGGCCGACAGCGTTTTTGTATGTCCATGAAAAGTCTAATTTAAAATTAAAGATTTGTAGCTTTGTAAGTCTCAAAAAAATACAATACATTTTTTTTCGGACTAATAGAACATTTATTAACCATTTAAATCCTTTTTCCAAAAAGGGTCAACTAGCCTATTGACATTGGGTGTATTCCGTAACGTAAACCAGTATTCTGGCCAGTGCTAATGACGTCACGAATCCGACGCCATATTGTACTGGTATGCTACGTATGCTACCATATTTTTACCGGGAAAACGAATATCACTTATGACCGAGCGTGCGTGAGATGTATTCGAATTTTTATTTCTTTTTTATATAAAGGACAAAAATGGCATCCGAACAAAACGAATTCCTTTTAATTGGTAAGGTGAATAAAAAATCTTCTTTGTACGCACTATTTTTAATATTACGTCGTTTATGACGTCAGTGCACTGGCCAATATATTTCGGAACAATTCACCAGTGTAGCGTCGATTCATGACGTCATTAGCACTGGCCAGTATACTGGTATATATTACGGAATACACCCATTATGTCACGTTTTCTTTTGCGCCTAACTGTCAAACTGCATTGTAATTTGACAATTGAGCGTGATAAAAATGAGCTATTAATCATATCGCGGTCCTCATGCTAGGGGGTAGGACGATCGATTTTTGTCAAATGCTTACTACTACCATAAAAACCACATTAAGCTTCTCCTAATAATAATACATCTACCTATTTACAACTTTAGAGGTACATTTGGGTACATTATACAAATTGGAATGAATAATCAATTTATAGCTTAGCTAAAGTCGCAAACGCACATCACTCATTAAATAAAACTAGTTTTTCACGGGTTAATGCCAAGGGCGGATCCAGCTTGGGCGCCAGGGGGGGTCATATAGCCAGCTTTGGCGCCAGGGGGTGGTCATATAGCCAGCTTTGGCGCCAGGTGGGGGTCATATAGCCAGCTTTGGCGCCAGGGGGGGGTCATATAGTCGTGGTATATTAAATATTGAAAGTACTTAAATAAAATCCCCCTGGGTTTGGTCCATCTGTACCCAGTCCAGGGGGGGTTATGACCCCCATGACCCCCCCCCTGGATCCGCCCTTGGTTAATGTACGAAACTTTATTTATTTATTGACGTTTCGCAGCCTTTACAGGCTGTGTCATCGGAATCATCAATAAAAAATTGATCCCGAAGACGCAGCCTGTAAAGGCTTGTGTGCATTAACCCGTGAAAAACTAGTTTTATTTAGCACCTAAAGAGTTTGTAAACGGTTCTATCTATGAGTGTCTTCATGTAAGTCACTGCAGCGAGTCGCTGAGTGATGCTTCGGAAGCCAAAGACTTAGCGCTGCGCATACTGAAACAAAGGAAATAAAATTAACAGAAATAGACACACAAAATTTCTTTGAATATCTTATTCGTGTAAAGTAAGCATTGTGGAGGAGGAGTTCGATGGCGTAGGTGGTCATTGGATAGGTGACCAAGAACTTATTATCTGGAGTTCCTCCATTACGCGGCGGGCGCTGGTAGAAATCGCTCCTTGAGTCTGAATCGCACTATAAGATGTGTTCCGCTTACAGAAGTGTAGAGCTGTGAATCCATAGAAGATGGCGCTGTAGCTCTCCGTCAGCAGTTACCCGGCCGTTGTAGCTCCTGCCGCGGTGCCTCAGTCAGAATCGCGCTATAAGATATGTGTTCCGTTTACAGAAGAATAGTGCTGTGAATCCGTAAAAGGTGGCGCTGCAGGCCTCCATCAGTAGTTACCTGGCCGCTGTAGCTCCTATCGCGGTGCCTCGAGTCTTAATCGTCCTATTAGATATGTGTTCCGCTTACAGAAGAGTAATTTTGTGAATCCGTAGAAGGTGGCGCTGCAGGCCTCCGTCGCCAGCAGGTACCCGGCCGCTGTAGGGCCCACCGCAGTGCCTCGAGTCTTAATCGTGCTATAGAGTATGTGTTCCGTTTACAGAAGAGTAATGCTGTGAATCCGTAGAAGGTGGCGCTGCAGGCCGCCGCGAGTAGGTACCCGGCCGCTGTAGGTCCTGTAACTGAGCTTACCCGCCCTCACATCAGCACGCCGCCCACCGCGGGCCTCAGTCTGAATCGCGCTATAATATACGAGTTCCACTCACAGAAGAGTAGTGCTGTGAATCCGTAAAAGGTGGAGCTACAGGCCTCCGTCAGCAGTTACCCGGCCGCTGTAGCTCCTACCGCGGTGTCTCGAGTCTTAATCGTGCTATAAGATATGTGTTCCGCTTACAGAAGAGTAGTGCTGTGAATCCGTAGAAGGTGGCGCTGCAGGCCTCCGCAAGTAGGTACCCGGCCGCTGTAGATCGAAGAACTGAGCTTGCCCGCCCACACATCAGCACGTCGCCCACCGCGTCAGTCTGAATCGTGCTATAAGATATGTGTTCCTCTTACAGAAGAGTAATGCTGTGAATCCGTAGAAGGTGGCGCTGCAGGCCTCCAAGAGTAGGTATCCAGCCGCTGTAATTCCTACAACTGAGCTTACCCGACCACACATTAGCACGCCACCCACCGCGGTGCCTCAGTCTGCATCGCGCTATAAGATATGAGTTCCGCTTACAGAAGAAGAATGAGGAAGAGTAGTGCTGCAAATCCATAGAAGATGGCGCTGCAGGCTTCTGCCAGCAGGTACCCGGCCGCTGTAGCTCCTACCGTGGTGACTCGAGTCTTAATCGTGCTATAAAGTATGTGTTCCGTTTACATAAGAGTAATGCTGTAAATCCGTAGAAGGTGGCGCTGCAGGCCGCCGCGAGTAGGTACTCGGCCGCTGAAGGTTGTATATCTGAGCTTACCCGCCCTCACATCAGCACGCCGGCCACCGCGGTGCGTCAATCTGCATCGCGCTATAAGATATGAGTTCCGCTTACAGAAGAAGAGTGAGAAGATTAGTGCTGCAAATCCATAGAAGATGGCGCTGCAGGCCTCTGCCAGCAGTTACCCGGCCGCTGTAGCTCCTACCGCGGTGCCTCGAGTCTTAATCGTGCTATAAAGTATGTATTCCGTTTACAGAAGAGTAATGCTGTGAATCCGTAGAAGGTGGCGCTACTGGCCGCCGCGAGTAGGTACCCGGCCGCTGTAGGTTCTATAACTGAGCTTACCCGCCCTCACAATAGCACGCCGCCCACCGCGGTGCATCAATCTGAATCGCGCTATAAGATATGATTTCCACTCACAGAAGAGTAGTGCTGTGAATCCGTAGAAGGTGGCGCTGCAGGCATCCGTCAGCAGTTACCCGGCCGCTGTAACTCCTATCGCGGTGCCTCGAGTCTTAATTGTGCTATAAGATATGTGTTCCGCTTACAGAAGAGTAATGCTGTGAATCCATAGAAGGTGGCACTGCAGGCCTCCGCGAGCAGGTATCCGGCCACCGTGGCTCCTACAACTGAGCCCGCCCGCCCGCACATTAGCACGCCGCCCACCGCGGTGCCCCTGCGAAATAAAACAAAAATGGTGTTCCTTCAACATTATCATCAGCCTATTAATGACCTACGAGGTGAACCGACGATCTTGTGAAGGTCGTGGGAAGCCGCGGGATGCTAATGGCGCATGACCGATCTGTGTGGGGATCCTTGAGCATAGCCTATACTCAGCAGTGGACGTCGTACGGCTAATATGATGATGATTAATATCCCACTGCTGGGGTACACGCCTTCCCATGGATGGAATATTACGGAGATTGGCCGTGACCCACCACGCCCAACCACACATCGCCACGTGCCATGCCGCTGGAAATAGATCGAATTTCATCATCATCATCAGCCTATTTATGTCGGCCTTTCGGCCTTTAGGCCTTTCCTATAGCTGGAATACTGAGATTGAACCAGGACCCACACATCAGCAAGCTGCCCACTGCCGTTCCTCTGAGAATTACAAGGAAATTTGTGGTGTTACATCATCAACATCAGCCTGTTAATGTCGCCGTTTCTCGCCAGTCCTCCCTATGGAAGGACTAGGGAGATTATGTAATCGGGTGTCACGACCACGCCCGACATTCATTGGGACGACCGCGGTCCTCGGTGAACGGTGCAGGAGCATTGTCTGGTTTTTACTGGCCCTGTTCAGGGTATTAGGTAGGGCCATGCTCATTTCATTCCAGGGTTGGTGGAAATGAGCAGGGAGGAGTCCCAGATACCTTCACCTCGCTTCCACGGTAGTTGATGGATGAGTACAAATGAGCTAGGACATTAAAAATCACAAAGAAGGGAGATTACACCAGAACGCACCATACGGGCCTAGTGCGGATGGGTGCTCAGGTGCTTCGGTTGAGTTAGTTTTTTTTTCCACCCTATGACCGGCCATTGTAAAAGTTATTTCATACTCATCCATTTTATTAAAACCTGTTTTTTCTATTGTTTCTCTTTGTAGATGATAAATCTGTATGTAATATCTACAGCTATCGAAACTCATATTTTTATATCAGTCCTTGTTTAGAATTGTAGGATTTTGCTATTAAGAAACAATTACGGTATCTGCTGACAATGGCATAGTTATTTCAAATGTGTATAATGTATATGTATTAGAGTAATCTCGAATTAAGGCGCTTCGTTAACATATATTTTTTTTATCTCAATTTGTTTTACTTTAGTAAATTTATTTGGTCTAGTAGTCACTGGACCCTCAAGCAAAAAGTGCCTATTGGACCTTATGTACACGGCCTATAGGACCTTCTTAAAAAAACAAATGCCCGTTGGACCGCTTTTTTTAATTCAACTGGTACCTACTGGACCTTCAAGATTAGACCCTACTGCAACTGTACCCACTGGACCTTTTTTGTATGTCCCATTTGACCTCTCTAAAAGATATATAAAAAGCGCCCATTGGACCTCTTTTATGAGACCCATTGAATGTTATTGACAGCTTTATTAAGAAAATTAAAAATTAAAAAAAAGTAGATGCAATATGGCCTAAAACTAAATAATAAAGGACATTGGGCAAAAATGTATGGACGCTGCACCCACGTCCGGTTGGGTTTTTTTTAAACATTCTGTTCGTTATAGTAAATTGTCTTCTATGTAAAACGGAGCGACCACAGATTACACAAACTTGTCCACGTTTGGGAGAAGATATGATTCCAGTTCATCCATACTAATTGACAAACCGATAATCGTGTTCCAAAGCGTGTTAGATAAAAATCAATCAAGTAGCAGGGAGAGCACATTCACAACGAAGTAAGACGAGTCGACTATTTGCAACTGCAAGTCCTTCATCATCCGTAAACCGTTTTGAAATGTCTCAGTAAGAGCAAGCGCTGGATGGTCGGCAGGCTTTGTCGTATATCTGGTTGTATAGTACGATATGGCATATTATTATGATTACTAATAATATAAAATGAAGGTATTATAAAATGAATTTATTCAGCTACTTAAATAAGCCCATGTGTCATATCTATTGACTACCAGGATATTTTTTACGGTGTCATATCTTTTGACTACCAGGATATTTATTTTCGGTGTCATAATAAAAAAGGCTAGTTTTTCATAGATCTGTCGATTCATACTAATTACATTGTTGGCGGAGCTGGGTGCGTTTTGCCCATTGTCCCTTATGGAGAAAACATGTTGTCTTTTTTTCTTCGTATTAACGTCATTTGTCCTGCTCTCGCCTTATGTAGCGCAACTTTTAGTGCACTAGTGTTGGAGTACTCAGCTCTGATGCATGCACTTTATCGATGAAAAAGAAGACATAAAAATCAATCATAAATTGGAATAATAAGTTCACCACTATTACACGAATATCATGCATGGAATATTTTTTTTTGAAACAGGGCAGGACGACCGGGGTGGATGGTACCGACTCGATATATAGAGTGTCTCCGTCGTATATTTGCGCACCAATCGTAGCTTTTAAATTTTTACCTACTACAGGTGATAGTAACATCTTTTTCGGATTTCTTTTACTGCACATTTGTATTTATATAACAAAATTAATAAGCATAATTAAACCGACTTGTTAACGCAGGCCCTTATTGTAACAATATACCTAATCTTCTAAACAGTACATGTGTGACATGTAAATGTTATGGTAGATAAGGTTGACTGTTTCTCATTATAACAGTAAACAGGTGTTTATTTAACAATGAATAATGTTGTTAGTAAGGCCTAGATATATTTACATATTATGCTGAAAGGAAATTACTGTGAATTGTTTTATAAACGATGTGGGGAATACCGAAATCTCTTGCTAATAGTATATAACGCTGCTATAAGTGCACAATTCGTGTTTTCTTCAAATAGTATAATATAATTACTCTAAAGTCCTTATGTACTTAAGTACTTAACGATAATATAAGGGCTCCTTGTCAGGACTACGCAACTCTAAAAACTGCATACTATCCAATGCAGATAGTAAAAGCCCATGGACACACAGGGTCATAGAAAAACTTAGCATAGAGTATTAAATTTTATCGAACTATTGTCTGTTTGTTGCGCTTCCGTGCCCTAATAGCTAAATCGAATATAATGAATTCCCATATAGAAGTAGATGGGAACTTGGTTCCTAGCTACAACATCGCAATACTTATAGGCGTAGGGTGATGAAAGGGGTGATTTACCTATAAAAATCTACATTATTTACTTTGAATTTTGCAGAATTATTACAAAATCAATATTATCGCGAGCTGATTAATAAATACAGGGATTCCAATAAGTATGTACTTACTAGCGAAAAATGGGTTATTTAAATAAATAAATAATAAATAAATATTTCCGACACTCACACCTATTAGCCTAGCCCCAAAGTAAGCATTATAAGGCTTGTGTTATGGGATGCTAGGGTAACGGATAGAATACATATACTGTACATATATAAGTATATTTATATAAATACATATTAAACATCCATGACTGGAGTACAAATGCTCGTATTCATCACACAAACATCTGCCCCCACCGGGATTCGAACCCGGGACCTCTCGAGTCGGCGACAGCCATGAAACCCGGCGTACAAACCACTCGGCCACGGAGGTCGTCATTATATTAAGTAAACCTTTTTTGTAACATTAAGTAATATCGTGAAAAAAATGAAAAACAGTAAAATTCTGAGTTTTTCATTAAAATTCAATAATCATAAATACCTATTATGATAATATATTTTTCATCATTTAATAAGAAGGAACTGTATCACAGTTTTATTGTTAGTACTTCGTAGAGGATCAGATACTGCGAATACCCCATTTTTTTTTCTTTTACATAGTACACCGCGCTATCACTTTGTCATCGTTGTAACTTTTTAAATATTTGTCGAAATGGCATAGTGTAAAAAGCAAAGTTTATCGTCTTTAAATATCAAAAGCGATAAAAGTATTTGTTTTGATAAAAAATGATTTGTTAATACAAAATGTGCATTTTGGAAATAGATATCAATTAATATTTTAGTTTTGATTCACTATTTTAGCGGTAATGACTTACACATTAAAAATAGATATATGGTGTCACGGACTTTTTTTAGAACTATTTAAGAGATACATTTTCACTCTACATTACATTCATGAAGCTTTTATTGTTTTTGCAGTGCAGGCCAAAATGGCTCGCAGATGGGAGATTTTTTTCCGTCTTATGTGACACTTATTGTTATATATTTTCCAATTCACTCAATAACTACATAAATTATTATATATATGTAATTACATACATGAGCTACATTACTGTTAAGTTTCATTTAAATCCATTCAGTATTTTTTAGGTGAAAGAGTAACAAAGATCCATACAAACGTAAGATTGAAATTAAAAGCGTAAGTGGTTAATATAGTACAACTTTAAAGCGTTGTAGATCCTAAACAATCATATAAAATGAAAAATGGTGTTAGGAGCCTAAATATGATTTTTGATTATCTAGACAGTGATACCCCACTCGACATATTTTGTCAACTTATTTTTTTTACTTCGTCACAATATGGCGCCTAATTTTGCCCATATTGAATTTTGATTACTATCATATCTTTAGTAGCACTCCCATGATTGAGACGAATCGATTGATGTATGAATCATCAAAATCGGTCCAGGCGTTTGGTTTCTAGTGTGCCACAAAGGAACAAACATACATATATAGACTGTTAAACACATAACCCTGTCTGCACGTCGCGCTTCGCGCTCTTGCATTGCGCAGCCGGGTAATAAATAGGTCGATTGTTGGTACCTCAATCTGGTGGGAAACAAGTGGACTGCGTACACGGTGAGAGGCCCCACGCCGAGTGCCGTCAGCTGCAACGCGGACAGCGCCACACCCGCTACCACCCTACAAGAATAATAAATTATTGAACCATAAGGCGCTTTGCAGACGACGGGGCGGGGCGGGCTTTTTGTCCGCGAAGCAATAAAAACCGCGTCTGCCCGTCGATGTCTGCGGCTGCCCTCGCCGCGTTCACAAAGCACACGACGGGCAGAGGCAGTCAGTTCAGGACGTTCGTTCTAGTGAATAGTCCATCACTAAAAAGCGCGTGGCGCGGACTGAGCTAGCCGCCCCGCGCCGCCGTCTGCGTTACTGCATATAAACTGGTTTGTATGATCTACGGCGCGGGCAGCCGCGGACATGCGTCTTTTTGCCCTCTGTGTACGTTTGTAGTATAGGATTCACTTTGTGCTATCATTCGCGGCGAAATTGACCGGCCCGCCCCGCCCCGCCCCGTCGTCTGTAGTATTCACACTAATAACCGCATATAAAGGCAACTGCTTGTGCACATCAGTAGGGCATAAGCGTGTGAATACATGTTTGCACCCAGAGAACACAGAACGAGGTTAGACGTTAGGAGTGCGGCACTCGTACTTGGGGGTGGAGGGTGAACGTTGACGGCGTTGTGTGGATGAACGAAATAAAACTCCCAAGATCCGGTGTCGAAGAAAGTGGGTGGGCGCTGGTAATGGATAGCCGGCGAGGAGTCTTAAGTTCCAGAGAGAAGCGCTTGTTTCTTCTTATTCCTTTTAGGTAGGAGCACCGGTTGCTGACGTGCCGGGTTCGATTACGGCCCGACTTTAATATGATGGCGCGCGATGAGCTGGCCAGCGATCCATTACCTCACCCCTTTTTGTTTTCTTACATATATATATATATACCTAGTCAGGTCATAAATTCTGTCACATGTTTAATATAAAATAATTGAAACAAATTTATTCATTATGTAACCATTTATATACCAAAAAGAACTTAACAAAACATAGATTCTTATGACAATAAAGTTTATTCAAAATGACCTCCGTGATTTTGAATACAGGCCTTCAATCTGCGCGGCCAGTCGTCTATCGCAGCACGAACGAGGTTCATGTCAATATCGGCGGCTGCCTTAATCAAGGATGTCTTGAGTGACTCCAAATTCGGATAAGGCTTGGAGCACGCCTTTTCCTCCAAGTGTTGCCATATCTTGTAATCTAACGGACTCAAATCTGGACTGGAGGAGGGTCAGTCTTCGTGCCGGATGAAGTCGACTTCACGCGCCGACAGCCTGTTGGGAATCTTGTTGGAATACCCAGTGCCTGTTATTGAACATGGTATGAGAAACAGGTTCCACAAGGTTCGTCAGGACTGTATTTGATACACAACTGCATTCGTTATTACACCTTTCTCACAAAAATGTACCTCTGTTAAGCCCCAATAAGAAACTCCCAACCATACCATGAGCGAGGATGGAAAATGATCTCGTTGGACACGCGGAATACGGTTGCTCGCTTCTTCACTACTGTGTGCGTACACCTTATCATTTTGTTTGTTGTAGTTCTCTTCTACGGTAAAAAATTTTTCATCCGAAAAAAGAATTTCCTGATATTTTTTCCCGCGTACCGCTTCAACAAAGCGCGGCAGATCTTCAGTCTCAGGGCCATTAGACTAGCATTCAAACGACGTCCTGTTTTTATTCGATATGCCCGAAGCCCTAAGTCTTCATTTAACACCCTTTTCACCGTGGTTCTGCTTAACCCCATCTGAAAGGCCAACAGTTTCTGCTTACGTTTGGGATTTCTTTGAATTCGCACCTTCACAGCTTTTATCACTGCTGGAGTCGTAACAGACCGAGGGCGACCACTTCTTGATCTGTCATCTACACTAGAGTCTTCATAGTATCGTCTGATTTGATGGTACGATAAACGAATCTTTTGGTTATATTCAAATTTTTCAGTATGTCAAAAATTTGAATTGGCGTGTAACCGCAACGATGCAACGCAATAACTGCAACACGGTCTGCTTTTAGCGTCCACTCCATATTTAAAAATAAGTAAAATTCTAAAAAGAATACATTTTTATTTTTATGAACAATTCGAAATTCGAATTCAATAAACTTTTTTGTGGCCAGCATTCTAAAAGAAAAGTTTTTACTGTGTGACAATATTTATGACCTGACTGTATATATATATATATTCTATCTTTTTCTTTATGCTCTATAGTTTATGGGTCATTACCTGTTTTCATGTAGTCCTGCGGTTAAACACGCGGCGCCTACGATGGCGTACATTCCTACGAGCAACGTCTTCTTGTTGAGCGGCGTCAGATAGATCACCATCACCAGCCCGCTGTACAGGATGGTAGTCACCACCATGATGAGGAAAGTGGCGGCGGACATGGTGTCTGTGCACGCTATCGTCTGAAATTTATGAGAGGCGTAAAGAATCATTCTTGCAGGCCGCAAGGTGAGAATGGTTGGTGTAGCCGTTTATAACTGCTGTACCAGCTATCTTCGCGTTTGGACTTTATCACCACTTAACATAAGGTGGGGCAGAGTCATTTGCCTGCCTAGCTATAAAAAAAAACACTTTCCTATAAAAAATAATTTCCAATCAGTACCTGAGGGCAGCAAAATAAAAATAGCGCATTTGTTTTTGTTAAACAAACAGTTATTTAATCAAAAAGGAAATCAGAAAGCTTTTAACTTTAGCTGGACATATTATTAATAGCCTGCGCAGGCGAGACTTTTATCAGCTACACATCGCTTACAACTGTATCGAGAAACGCACACGGCGTACAAAAGTCCTCTGCTGACAAATGTCCCCCAAAGGCAGACACCGAGGGACAAAAATACGCGAGACTGCGGCAAAAATAGAACATAATATTATTATGTATCCAAGAGGCGGCAACACACACGGCGCCGGCGGCCTTTATTCTGTCTGTCAAAAAATATTTACCAGTTTTGAAATTAGATTCGATGTCACACTTTTTTCACTAGTCTAAAATGCCATATTAATTAACATTTTGCTTTATAAAATATGTGAAAAAAGACATTAATGAATAGAAGGAAAACACACACAAAAAATACACACACCACCCAAATAACTAGAGACTACGGTTAGGAGAGGTTGGAAGGAAACTGAGCATTTAGAATAAGATAGAGAAGAATAGAACTTACTTGGTTGGTAGGAGTTTCAGCTAACATACAAATGGTTCCTGTTGAAGATTCACTGCTCATGACCTTGTTTATAGTATCTGGTGCAAGTAAGAAAAGTCCATTCAACCTGTATAAATGAAAAAATGTTAATATCCCTTTTAGTATCAGCAGGAACATTGAAGGTGATGACTGTTCCAAAAGCAAATTCCTGACAATTTATATTATAAAAGTAAATAGTTAAATCCCTCAAAAGCTTTATCAAGGTCCTCTGCATCTGAAGCTTAGAAAGAATAAATAAAATAAATAAATATAAATATTTCCAACACTCACACCAATTAGTCTAGCCCCAAAGTAAGCACTGTAAGGCTTGTGTAATGGAATGCTAGTGTAACTTATAGAATAAATATACTGTACATATATAAGTATATTTATAAAGAAATACATATTAAACATCCATGACTGGAGTACAAATGCTCGTATTCATCACACAAACATCTGCCCCCACCGGGGTTCGAACCCGGGCCGGCGACACCATGAAGCCCGGCGTACAAACCACTCGGCCACGGAGGTCGTCAAATGTTCAACATAAAGCAGTGACATGGCTGTATCGCTGACATTGCTGATATCCATGGGCGACGTTGACCGCTACATCAGTACCCCTAGCACGAACCATTATCGAATTCGAATAGTTTGCAAACCAAAATGTCAATGTCAAATTTTGTATGGAAACTTGAACAGCAGCGGCACAAAGTACGTAACGAGAACTAAAAATCAGTACACATTTGACAATGACATTTAGGACCTGCAAACGATTCGAATTCGATATTGGTTCGTGCTAGGGGTACAGGTGGCCCATCTGCTCGTCTGCCTTCGAAGGCAATGAAAAAAGAGCATGTAGCTAATAAAAAAGATCAGGAGGCCTACTCTATTTCAAGGAAAAACGAAATTTTGATCGAAATTTCGCACGTTCCTTACTCTGTTTCTATTTCATTTCGAAAATTCGTTCGTCCGAAAATAGTTTGACATTTAAATTCTCTAAGCCTACTCTAATTCACAAAACTTTTGAACTAAAAGTTGAATTTGACAGATAATAATAATTGTTCGAAATTTTAACCTCAAATTGACGAAATGAAAAGTGTTACCTTTTTATTTTTGTTTTGGGATTTTTGTTTAAATTAAACCTAAAATTACTACTAGAGTATTTTTAATTAAGGCTGTTTAGCGTGAGGAACATTTTCTAGTATGAAAATTTTACAAATAGATAAAATTTTTGTTTATTATTGGATTGCCAATACTTCAAAGTGTTATACGTTATACGACAAGTTTAGGTTGACATACATTCGATTGCATCAACTCTACTTATCTAAAAAGTGTAGATAAAAAGAACTCCCAAACATAACTCATTCCATTCGTTCACGGTAATTGTCTGTGATTCCGAACTTTATGTGCGTGTTCGAAGATGAAATAGAGTAGAGTCACTGGCGAAATTCGTATAAAATTCGTTCGTTGCCGAAATTTCGTTTCGGAGAAAGAGATTAGAGCTCCAGATAATCAGCAAACCCTTGGTCCGTGGGGTCCTAGCGCTATAAGGATTTTTAAGGATATAGTAAAATGGTTAGTCGACATCACAGGTGACCGAAGAGCTGGCAGCTACCACAGACAAAGAATTATTCTAGCTAAAGGGGGAACGCTGCCAGTATCTTCGGAACCTTGCCCAAAGGGACTCTTTTTAATAATGTATTTTAGTTATTATATTATATTTTTGAAGGTTTTTAGTTTTAGGTTCATTTATATAATTCATAATAATAAATAATGAAAATGCGGCTGTAATCTATGGTTTAAATATCACGCATGCATTTCGTTGTAATAATTTATACTCAACTAAGTTTTAGAACACCTGTTTCTGACCAACTGCACATCACACATAAAGTGTCGCCGCACACGGGCCACCGACCACAACCATAAAACTCTGCCACCGGCATATTTCTTGTAGTTTTCATACATTTTACATGGACTCGAAACACACGATACGCCGGTGGCCGCCACACGCTACAAATCTTCGTTGCTCGCTCCTTGTGGTCCGCACCGGCCACTTAATACGCCGATACAAAACGCCGCCACACGTCACTCGCGTGATTCCCCACCCCTCTCTCCCTTACCTTAGTAGGCCGCTGTCGCGCGCTTCAGCCACTTTAGTAGCCGCTTCTAGCTTCTCGTGGCGGCGTTTGTGGCTGTGGCGTGTGGCCCGTGTGTGGCGATACTAAGAAAGCTCAACGCAACTTGAATTCATCAGCAAACGGGAACAGTCAGACATAAGTCTCATTTTACCCTTCCCCGTGTGTTTACGAGTATGTCACACCTTAATAGTAGGTACCCTAGCTAATTAGTTGTCAACGCAAACATGCTTACAGTGAGAACACTCCGAACATGAGGAAGCCTGTCAAAGCCAACCACTTGAAGTGCGGCGGGCGGAGGAGGTCCAACCCAGAACTCCCCCACTTGTCGACAGACACGCTACACATTAACCGTTCGCTGTCATCCGATCTGATGGATGTCACCTGCAAGTTTTTTTTTTGATATTAAAACGGTGGCAAATTAGCGCTTGGCCACCATCACACTAATATTATAAAGGCAAAAGATTGTGAGTGTGTATGTTTGTTACTTTTTCACGTCTGAGTGTGGCCGCACACGGGCCACCGACCACAACCACAAAACGCCGCCACCGGCATATTTCATGTGGTTTTCATACATTTTATATGGACTCGCCACACACGGTACGCCGGTGGCGGCCACACGCTACAAATCGTCGTTTCTTGTTTCTTGTGGCCCGCACCGGCCACTTAATGCGCCGATACAAAACGCCGCCACACGTCACTCGCGCGATTCGCCACCCCTCTCTCCCTTACCTTATTCGGCCGCTGTCGCGCGCTTCAGGCACTTCTAGCTAGTAACCGCTTCTAGCTTGTCGTGGCGGCGACACTTAACGGCTGGAGCGATTTTAATAAAAATTTGATATTTAGTTAGCGGACACCCTGGATTAACACATAGGCTACATTTTACTGCGGAAAATATGACTAATAAACCGCGGGTAACACCGCAAGGCACAGCTATTAAACTATAAACGCTTGCGATACCGAAAATATTACTCGCACCGTTGCCTTCCCTGACCCAATACCCCACCGTGTGGGACCCTGGAACACAACACCACCAAAAGGTAGGTAGTGTTATTTACTGTGATTTTTTCTATAAGGTGGAGGTAACTTCCCCAAACTGGCGCTCCAATTCGAGCGGATAAGCCGCCTTGTCCCTATTATCTCTATTCCTACCTCTCTTGAGATGGAGTTGTGTTCATCAATATTATGCATATTTTTTTTATCTATGCGAAAAGCATGCCATCCGATAAGTTCGATGGTTCTCGTTTCAGGTTTCGTAATGGCTGGATATCATTACCCCTAGCACGAACCATTATCGAATTCGAATCGTTTGCGTGTCCGAAATGTCATTGTCAAATGTGTACTGATTTTTAGATCTCGTTACGTACTTTGTGCCGCTGCTGTTCAAGTTTCCATACAAAATTTGACAATGGCTTAACGTGCCTTCCAAAGCACGGCGGAGCTCGAGATAGTCAAGTTTTGGTCACCCATCCAATGACCGACCACTGCGAAAGTTGATTAACTTCAACGATCGCAGCCGACCTAACCTAACCTAACCTAACCACTTGCGCCATCGAGCTCTTCTACTATCATATTAGTAAACGAACTTACGTAAAATCGCTCTGGGGGTTGTCCACTATTAACTGAGTAGATTCGCTTCACCACTTCTAAGGCTCTACGGCTCTTGCCTTTAGCCATTAAGAACTTGGGGCTTTCTGAGGCACGTGTCAGGAGCAGGGCCGTGATGAGTAGTGGCAGGGCGTAGGATGCTGTTAAGACGCGCCACGGCTTCACCGAGTCTGTGTCGCTGTAGCTCCAGTCGCTGGGTAGTATCACCCATGCTATGACTGAAACAGTTTTCAATAGATGTGGATAAAATTAAATGTATACCTAATCAAATATCGAATCAGCATAACCGAAACCAATAAAGTGTCAAATTAAGCAGGATTTTCGTGCGGTATCTAATGTATGTATATATATACTAGCTGACCCAGCGAACTTCGTACCGCCATAAAAAAAATTAATTAAAAAAACATTGTCCAGCGGACAAAATTGTGAATCTAAACCATTCTCAGATCCCCTTGAACACACACAATAAATTTCATCAAAATCGGTCCAGTCGTTTAAGAGAAGTTCAGTGACATACACACTCACAGAAGAATTATATATATAAAGACTAGCTGACCCAGCGAACTTCGTACCGCCCTAAAAAAATAGGGGTTGTCCAGCGGACAAAATTGTGAATCTAAACCATTCTCAGATCCCCTTGAACACACACAAAAAATTTCATCAAAATCGGTCCAGTCGTTTAAGAGAAGTTCAGTGACACACACTCACAGAAGAATTATATATATGTATACTCTTCACTGCATTACAGATGTTATTACTAATAAGTACTAAATTTCCTATTTCTTTTTTTTTGCTTTCACGTCTAAGCTACTGGATTGATTTTCATATTTTTTTTGTTAATTGGATTTACAGATTTTTTTCTCACAGCAAATCAGACATTCCGAGCTGGTTTAAATAAGTAGGAATCATTGCTACTGTCCAGCGCAATCTATTTTTTTTTGACAATACACGTATTTGTTTACCAGGGCTCAGAACCGATGACATCATGAGGAAACCGTTGCAGGTAAGGACTATGGAGTCGCGACGGTTCTTGGGCAGCATTTCACTCATGTACGCCCAGCCCAGAGAGGACGGACTGGATAGACTAAAACAAATAATTAATTTTAAAATAAATAAAATATAAGTCTAAGGAAGATTTTGCTTGAACCTCCGCTATCCGGGTGAAAGCACTAACCTATTATGCTGTCGCGACCTTAATGGTCGAATTCAAATAACACATGACAATAAAATATATTAAATTTTTAAAATATTGTTTATTATAAGTTTGCAACATTGTTAATTTTATTTTCCGTAAGAACCTTTTCATTCGAAAAAGAATTATAAACTTTAAAAAAGTTGGTTAAAATTGGTAAGTCGTAATGAAATATAAGGGATATTTTTTTTAAGATATTGACTTCTGGACTAGATGGAGTTTCACATTTCATGACAGTGTTGTGTTTCTACAATTTTCAAGTGGCCGCGATACGTTTTTCTATAGCTACTCGTACATTATGGTGTCACTTTGCCCGGAAGTATACAAGCGTGTGGCGTCGTTTTAGTCTTGGCCAATCGCAGACATTTACGGTCACGTGACCACGGAACAAAATATCATTTCTATTTAACGATTCTATAGAAAAGTTATTAATTGTTTATTTTTTTCTTAGGTTTTCACGCACACCACTTTTTGAGTAAAACGAGTTAAAAGTTTGTATAGATGCACTGTTTATTTGTTTATGACGTTTCGCATCCATTTCAGGCTGCGTCGTCAGAATTTCCAGCATTTCGCAGCCAGAAAAGGACGCGAAACGTCATAAACAAAAAAAAACCAGTGAATCTATACCGCTGAAACTTGTTTTATTTATTAATTGTTTGTTCTTCCAGAATAGTAAAATCCCTGCTAATATTCATATTAACAGAGGCGGCGTAAGGCGTGGGCGACGTGGGCCACCGCCTACGGCCTCGCGGTACAAGGGGCCTCGCGCCTCAAACATTTTTATGCATTGCTTAAAAGCGAATTTCTTTTTTTTTATTATTTTATAAAATCCGTCTTCTGGTCGCCACAGAACAGGGCCTCGCGAAATCTGTCTTGCTCACATCAAATTTAGGTCTTGCCCCGCCACTGCATATTAAATACAGATGCCAACACTTGGTATACATGATTGGTATACTGTCAAGACTGGCCTATTCTAAGTGAATTCGATGTCAATAGACGATGTCAGAGTAACAACATTTGTTGCGCCTCTTAAAAAATGACTCCACCCCACCTGATGTTAAGTGATGGTGAAGTCCAGGGGGCCAACTTTATTGCTTTGGAAAACGCTATCGCTTACGATTTCATTTTGTTATATCTGACCGCCGAAGGTTTTCAAATACCGCACGCTCATTTTATTTAATATTGTTATTGCCAATGCAAAAGAAAAAAAAAGAGCGCGAGGCATTTGAAAACCTCAGGCAGCTAGAAATAATAAAATGAAATCGTAAGCGATAGCGTTTTCCAAAGCAATCCGGTTAGGCAATTGGCCCCTAGATGTGAAGATAGCTGGTAAAGCAGTTCTACCTGCCACACCCGCCATTCTCACCTTGCCGGCCTGCATATTGCTTTTTCACGCCTCTTTTAAAGGTAGAGGTGATAATAATTTATAGGACATTATTTAATAATATAATTTAATAAAAATACAATGTTGGAGATCCTACAGACTTCTAACTTTAGCCAAGTTTTTACTTCAGACGATTTTTTCCAAAAATATAAAGTAATGCGTTGATGTCTTTTAGTAACACGTTGACCTTCGATAAAATACTGTTGGCAATACGGTAAGAAAAACATGATGTTTGGTAACAAAAGCCCTCTTTGAATTTCTAAATGAATTTATACAAAGTTAAATATATCCGTAAATAGACAATGTACTTCCTCTTATCCGAGGTAAGACGCAAAAGTACAGTATTCTTGTATGAATATAAGACTCGAAATGATAATTCTGTCCTGTGAAAGCCTCCGAGGTTCTTCAAGATTTGTCATTTTTTATTTTTCACCATAATTAACTATATTTTAATAAATCAAATGAATATCACAGTATCTTATATTTAATGTGGTATATAATTTTTTTAACTTAGGAGTGAGTAGAGTTTGAAAAGTAAGGCCTTGTGGAGATAAGGCGTGTAGAGTTATAAGCTTGGCTCTTTAAGAGATCTGATAATATTTTGACAGTTCGAGTTATATGGTCTCGTCTTGGCAACAGTTTATATGAAAATCTTTTTTGTGGAATTCTATTTCTACCTAAGGAGATCATAAGACTATTGCAAAAAGTACCTACCTATAAAATAGTTATAATTTTTATTATTTTAAAGCATGTAACTGCTTGATGTTTAAATCTAAAGAAAATATAACTAGAAAAAATTCCACGCGGACCAGGCAGCAGACGGGACGCATTATAGGTGACCCACAATGCGAAAAGATGGCGCTGCCTTGCAGCTTAAGAATGGCTAGAAGAATTTCAACCCGGTCCCCGGATTGCGAAGGGTGCGGGTTCGAATCCCGTCTGCTGCCTGGTCCTCGTGGAATTTATTCTAATTATAGATTTACCTATAAAATATTTATGATAACTTACAAAAGCGATTCAAAAGTATTCTGGGAGCTTACAAAAGTGACGCTATGAACTTGCAAATGGTGAACCCTGCCAGAGATGAGGTGAAGGCAGCTGCTAGGCTCACCGTGCCCGCTACAGCGCTGGTGAACAGCAGCACTGGCTTCCGGCCCATGGAGTCCGCGGCCCATCCCCATAGCGGTGCTGTCAGGATAACACCTGAAGAAGGGAAACCATGAAAAAGTTATGGCACTATTTCTGGAAGTGAAATTTCCTGTAGAAAAGATATATTTAAATATGTGTGTGTAGTTTGCGAGTGCAGGTCTTCCCGACGAGTATGAAAGTTGGAGGGTAACTCGGCGAAGGCTGAAAAGCTACGAGCGTCACACGCAACGATATGTAGGTCCATATATATGAGTGATGCGTACGCTGCTCCATTCCCCTATGCCTTATGCACCGCCTAATGTTAGATTATTTAAGAAAAGAAGTTTCACTTCAGATGTGTGGTCCGTGCACACAATTATTTTCATTTTATTCTACTCTGCAGTGCAATGCTCACAATAGTGTGAAAAGAAATTCGCTGGTTGTATTTGAAATTATTTGAAATTCATCAATCATTCTACTTTCAAATTACAACGCTGATTCCGCGGTGAAAGTGAGTTTGTTATTATAGATAAGCAATGCTGGAAACAATTTGATAGCAGGAATGCAAGATTTAGATCATCTTCAGTTTTAAATTTTTATTCAATACAATTCAAAATTGTTTACTACAGACAGCAAAATGGTCTATTACATCGTTAGTAACAATATTTAACTTAAATGCTATGTTGGTACCTATATATGTATTATTTTTAGGATTCTATCAATGATGTATCAGAAATTTATGCCTTACTCAAATTTAAAAAATAATCATATTTCAACAGCATTCTATCTCTATTGGACTTTAAATAATTAAAAGAGGATGGAATGATTTGATTATCAAGATAGATAAGGATGTTTAGACTTTTTACATACCCATATTCGGTACTGATGTGATAATGCCTTTCAAATTATACGGTAAGCTTAGGTCACACGCCGCAGCAGGCAACGTGAAGGCAGTTCCAACGATCTCCAGCAGAGAGGAAGACAAAGATGCCACCATGAGACAGCAATGCCAGATTTGGTATTTGCCAACGCCTGGAAAAATATATTAGCTAATTAATCACATACGCGAGATTGCTGGTAATATTATTCTAGGAAATGTTAAGTTGTATTCACCTTTGAATGTTGAAATGAAGGTAAAGATAAACAAATATGAAACTAGAGCTGTGTGATATAGATTCCTTAACAAGCATCGGGCGAATGATAGCAAATAAAGCCAATAACAGAAACACCCAAAATGTCTGATACACTAAATACGAAGTACAAACGAATGAATGGTTATTAGTCCACTCTTAGATCCAATTTATTTGACTTGACCGAAGGTCCGCATCTTATTAGACCCTCCCGGCACCCTACCAGCACGGCCTCAACTCTATATCTACCTCGATTTCTATGGGTAAACGCTCACTACATTAACTCCATACCGTCATCGGATCGCCTCGCTCGCAAGCTATCCGCGCGCGGGCGGCGGGTGGACAACTTGGGGACCACCCGCTGCTTACCGTGTGCTAGCTGCTGGTTGTAAATTCACTGCTCCTGAGTGGACCGCGCCATGCCCGTGAGTTAACAATGCAATTTATTGTCTTCTTCATCTAGCGCGACAGTTATTAAATCCAATTCATTGCTTGTGAAATGAAATAAGTGAAAACACATGTGTAAACCTAGTATTGACTACGGACCACACGCCACAGCCACAAACGCCGCCACGAGAAGCTAGAAGCGGCTACTAAAGTGGCTGAAGCGCGCGACGGCGGCAGACTAAGGTAAAGTAAGGGAGAGAGGGGTGGGGAATCGCGCGAGTGACGTGTGGCGGCGTTTTGTATCGGCGCATTAAGTGGCTGGTGCGGGCCACAAGAAGCGAGCAACGACGATTTGTAGCGTGTGGCGGCCACTGGCGTACCGTGTGTGGAGAGTCCATATAAAATGTATGAAAACTACATGAAATATGCCAGTGGCGGCGTTTTGTGGTTGTGGTCGGTGGCCCGTTTGCGGCAAAACTAACACACACTAGGTACTTAATTTTCTCTGACAACGCGGAGTCAGTGCACAGGATGGGTTGCGGCGGCAGCGCGGCGCTCGAGCGATGTCGCTGCATCATTTTGCATAGAAAAATCTGTGGCATGTCACACGATGCGCTGCGGTGCCGCGCCGGACTCGTAACCGTGAAGATGAGGCGGGAAGAGACTTCAGTTTTATGCGTCTAATGGAATGTTCTTTGCTGCTGAGTGGCCGGCGTCGTCAGACGCTGCGACATAACAACGTTGCGGCGGCTCGTGTGCCCACCGATACAACACACGGCGCGGCGGTACCGGGTGGCTCTAATGAGCTACGACCTTGAGTGTCCACTTTATCAATGCGCCAGGAATAAATACGATGAAGCATGTAATGCTGGTCACATTATCTCAAAATTTTAATAAGAACGTTGGAAAACAAACTAGAGCAGACAGTTGTTATCCTTACGTGATAACCTAGAGTTCAGGCTAAATAATTGACTTTACCCTATAGCTTCAGAATTCAACTATAGCTATCAGTTACCCAAAATAAATAATATTCTAAGTATACTTTTGTTGATTCAAGTTAAAATATATACTTACAACATGTCTACTTAATTCACTCCAAATAAGCTCAGTAAAGTTTTTTGGAGTGATTAAAGAACAAACAATTAGCTAATTTGCCTACTTTCAAATTTATAACAATAGGTTTTGTGAATATCAGTGGCTAGACTAAATTCAGAAACACTAGTGACTGTGTTGCCGACTCTACTTCCGAAACCGCTTTGTGGATTGACTCTCTTTTGAATGAGATAATAACTAGCAAACCAGTGAAACAAATGTTCACCAAAACCTGATTTAAAAAAAAAATGTATTTAATTAATTGAGAACTTCGGAGATTTTGTGTGGTTTCGTTTGAAATTCGTGATTTCTCGAAAACCGGAAGTGCTACGTTACTCAAATCCGGTTTGTAGTCTTATCAGACTATTCTTAACTTATAACTTAAATATTGTCTTTATCTATCTCTTACGGTTTGGCCGCTGACACAGCACCACAGACAGACGGACGGACTTGTCTAATAGATAAGAGATACAAAATTCATAAAGTAAATTTCTATTATTTAAGGTAGAGCTCGCTATTATTTTAATAATTGAAGCAATGAACATAGAAAATGCATTCATTCAACAGTTCACACCGTGATGAATCCACCAAAAGATTGTTCCACAGAAATGAAAATGAAAAAAAAAACTGTAATGCTTACAAGTTCCATATAAACATGTTGTTTGAATTTTTACATTGAACTTTACCATAACAATTATTGACATTAAAACAATTATTTCCGAAAGAAAAATAGACAAGTTACAACTGATCCCGCCCCCGTAGCATTAGCTCCACAATTTATATTGTATCACGTCTCATATCGCGTGCAACCTTAGAACATTTATACCAGGAGATGCCATAGCGTTCACTCGCCGAACAAAAATTTTCACCATTTTTGGTACGGGACGAGGTACACACGTATAGCACACTAATGAAAAAAATGAAATGATGTGGTGTCGTGGGACACCAGGTAGGAACGAAGTTCCTTCGGCTAATGTAGAATCGACACAAATTGCAAACTCGCTTGTGTATGCGACTGTCGCGCCTGCGCACGTCTCATTTAACGGTTTTATTCCACGCACTTTTTTCCACGGATTTTTTCTTACGGTTTTACTATCACATTTTTTTCAGTTCGGTCGCGCAGCATAATCCCTATCCCCTCCAAGCCTGCCGTAAGGAACTTCGTTCCAATATAGTTCCCACAAACACGAGCGTGTTGTTGCTATTAAATAAATAATCCTAAATGCTCTAAGCGTCCAACTGTCAAACCAAAGAAATGATGGGGGTGCAAATCGTAAGTAGCCGGACCAAGAATTAGGGGCCTCCACTCCTTCGTTCCCCCAGGTCCTCGACTTCACTATAAAAAACTACGTAACGCAAGTACGAAAAGCAATATTACGCTAACCTGCAATTTGAAGCGCTTCTTCCAAATCGGTTTCATGGTATTCACGGTGTTCAATGAAGTCTGGGGTATAATATTTCTTAGTCTGATCCATCAGACAGGCGGCTCCTTCGGGCTCGTACATCGCATCAGTCGAATTGTTTGACGTAATGACCTGTCTGCTCGGGAACTTATTTACGATTGATTACTTATCAACTTTGCATTGTTTTCTTAGAACTGCTAAAACCGGTAGGGATGGCAATTAACTTATAATTATTGAACATACAAACAGTCTTGACGACGCGCAGGTTAGCTTGGCCAACAATAACTTTGGTACTGGAATTCCTTATCTCCGTTGAATGAACGAACAATGAGTAAACAAATGCATATAACTTTCGTATCATTATTAAACCACTATCAATATGGAATAGATCAATGGAAACATTATATTTAAAAGTAAATAAGTAATGACGAATTTATTTATGTATTTTTGGATAAAGTTGCTAGTTTGAAGATCTGAATGGCAAATGTTACATAACATTACATAGTTGTTGGGCTTACTCTTCAATAAAAAGTATCTACCATTAATGAACTAAAATTAAGATTTAGAATACCGGCTTGCGGCAGTACGGCACATACATAGATTTGTATGTCGAAATAGGCACCACGATTGCGCAACTAATAGGTTGGAGAAAAAGTCTTGTCACATAATCTAATATATAACGTTCTCTCTGTGCGTAATTCTCGTGTCACGGTGTGCGTATTTGAACTACTCCGAAACGGCTCGACCGATTTTCTTGAAATTTTATATGCATATTCAGTAGGTCTGAGAATCGGACAACATCTATTTTTCATCCCCCTAAATGTTAAGGGTGTTCTACACTTAATTTGTTTTTGGAAAAAATATTTTGTTTTTTTTTATGATAGGTACATCGTTCAAAAATATATACAACCCTAAATTTTCACCCTTCTACCACCAGCCCCTATTTTTAAGGCGGTACGAAGTTCGCTGGGTCACCTAGAAGTATGTATGAACTTATAATTAAATCTCTTTTGCTATAACATTTGTATCTGGCTGGTTACTGGCACTTCACTCTTATTTTTCCGTCTAATTTGACCGGACTATAGTAATTACTCTGGTATCAAAAGTGTATTAGATTTTTAACACTATCACAGTAGTTGTGGTATAGGTACTTACACAGCCCAAATAATTATTTTTGTGGTTTTGATCAGACATAAATTAGAAAAACACAAGCCAAAACTTATTATACACTTTTTTTTAGCTATTGTATGTAATAAAAAACAGGTGCGAGGGTCACGGCACAAACTGAGATAATTCTGCGATATTAGCGCTTCGCTGGACAATCCACTGGTCCGACTAGGGCTGTCGAAATGCCATAGGCCGTATCTATATATATAAAACTCAAAGGTGACTGACTGACATAGTGATCTATCAACGCACAGCCCAAACCACTGGACGGATCGGGCTAAAATTTGGCATGCAGGTAGATGTTATGACGTAGGCATCCGCTAAGAAAGGATTTTGATCAATTCTACCCCGAAGCGAAGCGAGGGCGGGCCACTAGTACAGAAATAAAGCTGGAAGCCGACCAGCGCTTGTCAGTGCTGGTCCTTACTACTTTACTGACTTTTCATTTCATTCATTACATTTCACTAGTAACAGTTACGTAAAAGAAGCAGATTGAAGCCTAGTTGTTCATTAACTTCAAAGGGCGGTGCCAGCGCTGACCAACGCGTGTTGAAGATAGTCGGAACTTGTCGGCGACGTTCGGCGCTTATCGGCGCTGGTCCATAGAAATACCTGCGCCAGGTACCTGCGCGGACTGATTCCTATAAGCGCTGGTAGGCTATCAGCTTTCTTTCTGTATAAGGCCTTACACATACCAAACATAAAATACAATAGTTATTCTTTATGGGGGTAAGAATTTCATAGAATGGGATTTACATTGGAGGGCGCTGTATTGCTTTTCTATCGTATTTGTAAGGTTTTACCCCTTTTAGACATGATTAAATAGAAAAAACCCCAAGAAATCACAACAACAAACAAATCCGTATCAATACAAAACTTTGACGTTTTACAGATTGCTGGGTTTGATTGCCAAATAAAAATCTTAATGTTCATTAATTTTTCGCACAGACTCTAAACGGGTTTAAATTAGATAACAAAGCTTGACTATTATTAACGTGTATTTTTTTTGATTAAATATATAATATAGTAGAAATGCAATAACAGTGTATAGTAGAAAGACAGACGTCGCACTAAAATAGACACAACACACTCAGAAAAGAAAGTAGTGTTGGCAACCCTGACTCGGTTACATTTAGAACTAAGGTTAAGTAGATAGAGCATCAAGAATTTCATTCGTCGAAGAAACATAATATCCCTGAGATGAAATTGCGCTTGATCATAATGTATGTTAAAGCGCCTACTGACATGCCTGCCGCAAGGACAATCTAGGGTGTAAGAGTGGGGATGACCCTTAATTGCCTCCTGAATTGTGATGTGTGTAGGCAAGTTGGGGCAATTTTATAAATCGGACCTGCGGCAGGGCGGCAGGAGCGCGAGACCACCCTTGGTTCCTAGATTGTCCCTGCCGCCCTGCACGTTACCGCGTGTGTAGGGCGATCGGTGCAATTTCTCAATCCAGTTAGTCGGTTCGTAGCTGTCACACGCAGCGCACGTATTTCGATGAAGAAGGCGGCCAATCATAATGACCATAAAGTTTGGACACGAGTGATCGAAGTATATAAAGACCGGCCCCACATGTGGGACAAAAAAACGAACATTATTTATTTATATTTTTTTAATATTATTTATTTTTAAGTATGTAACTGCTCGATATTTAAATCTTAAGAAAATATTACTAGAAAAATAGAAATAGTTTTTTAGGTACATGCTAAAAATAAAATTATAACATTAATTGCTATTTCTTCTTTCAAATGTTTAATACTAAACTTGTAAAGGTATCAATTTGACATTGTGATACCCGGATAGCGAAGGGTGCGGGTTCGAGTCCCGTCTGCTGCTAGGTCCACGTGGATTTTTTTATAGTAATATAAACATTACTTATTTACAATAAATTTCTTTCTGTTGCCAATTCTTCACCTAATATTTCCTTTTTTGCGGTCACACCATAGAAAAAGCTAAGGCCCTGCCTACTGATCTTCTGATTTTTTGATAACACGGGGACCACCATGAACGCGTGTGTTTAGCTCAACATACCCCCGAACACTGAATAGCAGGCATATGTGTAGAGACAAGCCGATATTGCCCCGACCGCCGTGCACCCTAGATTGTCCCTGCGGCAGGCATGTCAGTAGGCGCTTTTACCAGCTACCAGCACCTGCTTACTTCTCACATACAGACAGTCACACATCAAGCAACCAAAAACTGTGAAATTTTCTCAATAATAATAATCATAATCAAAAGCATTTATTCAGTTTAGGCTGTTACAAGCACTCATTAATGTCTAGAAGCTACGCCATCGGTTCGTTAATCTATGGCGGGAGACCTTGTACTGAGAAGAACCGGCAAAAAACTCAGCAAGGTCCGTTTTTTCTCCCTGTTTTATTATTTTCAGAGTCGTCAAGTTGAAAAATGACTTCAGAAATGATTCATTCATCAATGTGAAATATACATTAATTGTTCACCTGCATTTTGATTGCTGTGTTATACATTATACATACAAAAAGTGTTATTTATATTAGGTGTAACTAGACATTAATATCTTCAATATCAAAGTAGTTAGGGCAGACTCATCTCAGCTGGCAATAGACGTTCACGAGCATGACGCATGAACCAGTCATCGCTTCCCTCAACCATATTTTAGGGAATATAAGGACCCGCCTCACACGACACCAATAGATTGTGAATCTTAAATCAGGCGTCTTAAAGCTCAAAGTCTTGACAGTTTTGGATAACCTGACCTGTGGCGGTCTGTACAATCCTACAAATAATATTAATGTGGAAGATTGTTGTTTCTGTAAGCTACCACCTAGCATATTTTTAGCGGTTTTATATTTATGAAGTTTGTTAAACAATCATTTGGCATTGTGTTTAGTAGAACTTGTAGTCAGAGCAACTAAGCTTAGCTAAGATTGTAAGGCTAGCATTCTCCCTGTTGTATTTGTAATCTATAAGAATTCTATAAAACAAATGTATACACTAGTTTATATCCCAGCAATCTTGCATAAGTGCTCCATTTTTCTTAGATACGCTGTTACAAGCACACAAAAAGGTCGAAAAACTATGTCATCTATTGCCATCAGTCTGTAAACGTTGTTTTTCATGTTGAACAATTGACGTTTCCACATTTCAAATAAGTCGAAAAGTATCGACGATCAGAAAAAACACTATACTTAGAACAAAAGTTGATAAGGATCAGTCAATCTTTCTGTTTCCATACTTATTTTCAGTAAAATATTTTCATCCCTGAGAAAGGGTACAACTTACAACCAAATATTGGTGCTGATAGGAGCTGTTTGGTAAAATTGCTAGAGAAACCGTGCTTTCACTGGACTATTAATTAATAATAAATTTTAATATTTTTTTTTATTGCCTTGAACAATAATGTGATCTTAAGCTAATGACCAGCATCTCCTTTTAAGCTTCAATAGCCTGTGTCAGGAGATACATACAGGTCTTCCTTAAAATAGATAAGTATAACAATCTTAAATCCTAAACTTACCGGCGCTAAGTAAGATTATTTGAGAAAATAATTTATAACCAATTACTAACACGGTTTTCTATAAATAAGCTTCTTCATTTGAAACAGTTTGGTTTCACTAGAGGCAAAAGTACTACTGATGCTGGAACTGCACTTCGCAAACACATTTTTGATATATGGGAGAGTAAGCACGATGCTATTGGCATTTTTTTGCGATTTATCTAAGGCGTTTGACTGCGTTAGCCATGAAACATTGTTAAATAAAATGAAGCATTATGGTGTATCAAATATTTCACTAAGTCTGATACAGTCTTATCTTTCTGCTAGGATTCAGAAAGTAGTTATAAATGAAGCTGAGTCTACAGGAGCACCCATTTCTATGGGCGTGCCCCAGGGTTCAATATTGGGCCCATTGCTTTTCCTTATTTATATCAATGACCTTCCTCACTTTACAAGAGAATTGTGTGAGACAGTACCTTACTCACCGACAGAAACACAGCACCTTTAAAAAGCAGTGTTATTTTACTGTGGTCTACTGTAAGGTAAAATTAAAAAAATAATAGTGAAGGACATTCTTTTGGGCATACTAGGGCCAATTTGGTCGATGTGCTTTCTCAGTAATAATAATAATCATAATCAAAGCATTTATTTAACTTTTTCTCTTATTGGTCTGTGATTTACTCAGTTTAGGCTGTTACAAGCACTCATGAATGTCTGTCTAGAAGCTACGCCATCGGTTCGTAAATCTACTGCGGGAGACCTTGTACTGAGAAGTACCGGCAAGAAACTCAGCAAGGGCTGTTTTTTCTTCCTGTTTTATTATTAACAGAGTCGTCAAGTTGAAAAATGACTTCAGAGATGATTCATTCATCAATGTGAAATATACATTAATTGTTCACCTGCATTTTGATTACCAAGAATATCATTCGCGCTGTTGCCTCCCTGACGCCCTGGAAGCCCTGGAACATTACCTAGAAACAGAACACCACCAAAAGCAGTGTTATTTTACTGTGGTCTACTGTAAGGTGAAGTTTACTTCCCCAGGCGGCAGCTTCAATTCGAGCTTACTGACCGCTTCAATTCGAAAATCCGCTAAGCCCCATCATCATCAATAATGCATATTCTGAACTTATACTATTGGATACAACGGTGCCATTTGTACCATCAAGGGTACTAGTGGGATAAATCATTGCCATTTGTACCATCGATGGTACTTGCCTAATGGTACAAATGGTCCTGTGGGGATGGTGCCACTACCTATTCATCATCAGCCTATAATGTACCCACTGCTGGGGCACAGGCCTTCCATATGGATGGAAAAGGTAGATTGGGCCATGACCCACCATGCGGGCCCAGTGCGGATTCGAAGACACATTAGCCTTCCGAAGCATGGAGGAGCTCGAGATGGAAGATTTTTGGTCACCCATCCCATGCGAAAGTTGCTTAACTTCAACTATCGCAGTCGAACGCGCTAAACACCTGCACCATCGAGCTCCTGACGCCCTACTTTTCTTTAAATTACAATTTTTTATATTCTTTATTTTTCCTTGTTTGCCTTCTTTATCGAGCAGAGTACTTATGTTTGGCTTTCTATTATGGCCGCTTATATAATAAAACTAAAAAAAAATTCTACTATTTATTCTGTCTGTAACTGAAGATCAGTAAAGTAAACAAC